GTGAGACACTTGTAGTGCTGCACCGGGCGTTTTGTTCGGCTTGTAAGTTTAACAGCGTCTCAGTTCGGTGAGACGAGGGGCGTGGAGTGAGATAGTTTAGAGCGTCCCTAATTTCGGGCTCTTTTTAAGGGTCCACAGCTCCAGTTACTAATATGGGTATTTTAACAAATTGGTCTTCTTGTTTATATGGATTTTGTGCTTGATTACGAACAGTGTAGTTGTAGTTCATGGCCGGAAGTTGGCCGGTAGCTGTCATATTTGTACCTCTTTCTGTCAGTAATTTGTTCTTGTTATGACAGATCAGTCCAGCTTTTCCCGCTCCCAGATTTGTGGCTTGTCACGATTGTCCGGCTCCATGTTGCCCTAGATCGGTTCCCTTTGTTCAAGTTTCCTTCCTCTGCTTTGATGAAACGTGAGACTATAAACTTCCTGTACGCTTATAATCTTTACAGTACTCCTTTAGCAATACTTTAATAGCTCTTGTTAAATACGCTTAACCACAGAATCTACTTAAAATCCGGCGTGACGTTATCATGGTTACAGTAGTGTGTCTTTGATGATTGGAGTTCATGTTTTCCAAGGAAGTACTTAATAATAATAATAACAAGTCCTCTCCCTAGTTACCTAATAATGGGAGACGCGCTTGTTAGCACGTGATATGACTGTTATACCACGTGACATGCCCTGACATGATCTGTCCGCCAGGGTTATATATATAAACAAATAAAATGCTTCTGTGCATTGCCAGTTTAAACTTGTTTTATAGGCCGAACTATAATCTGTGCTCGCTTTTTTCCTTGGTACACCTAGTATATTTGCAGTGTTGATGTAGTTAAAAACTAAAACTTTAAGCATTTGGACTCTGTTATGGACCTCTGAGCAAACCGAACATGCGGTCATTTTCTGAACATAAGCTGACCTCCTGAAACACTGTGCATTATATTACAATTATCATTTTATCATATTAATGAGATATTATTTGTTACGTTTTACATTAAGTTGTTATTTTATCGCTCTGTCACATCATGTGTTTTATTAAGTTAATAACATTATGTTTATGCGGACTGATGATCCTAAATATGTTATATATTATGGTGACTTGTTGGCTGCTGATGATAAAGAATGTTACGTATTATTGTCTTGTTGACGTTCCAATATTCGCTGATAACACGTTCTTTTAGGGCACTTCTTAAATTGGATTTGGGCCGTGAAAGCCTTGCCCTGTTTCCGATAATTTATAATTAAATTACGTTTTTAATAAATTAATCAAATATTCCTCTGTCTGCGACACCCACGTTTACAACCGAAATTCCTGTTTCTAGGTTGGGTCCCAATATCCCTATTTCTGGTTCCGGTCCCTATGTTATATATTATGGGGTGTTGCACCACCGCCCTTCACTGATTTTAAAAGACTTTTAGCTCCAGTGGACCCTCTAAAAGCTTTTTATTTGTACAGATATAAAAATATCCCATTAATTGATCTGCATTTACTTGTTTTTACTGTTGCTTTCGCACCTGGTTATTTGCTGCTGGCCGTTATAAAAAGTACAAATAGTTTTGTTTGATATTCGGGTAAAACACTGCAGGTGCGATAAATATCTCTTATCACTTCTTTGTTGTGATCAAAATACTGGATTGCTTTAGTTGAGCGAAAATGATCTAGAGAGCGGAGAATTGTTGTTTTTGCAGTTTTCTCAGTTTGTACACACGTTTTATTCTGTAACTATAGCCTCAAGTGTGCTCGTTCAAGTGTAAAGGCTCTCTAACTCTCCTGTACATCAGAGGGAGAGAGAGAGAGCCTTTGCACTACACCGATCTCTTAATTCTCCTGATAATGAGGTAATTACACGGTAATTGGGTGTAATTAGGTATGATAAGTAGTAGTGTAGATGGAGTATAAGGGAGAGAAGAGAGCGGGATAATGTTGTTGTAGACTTAGTTAGTGGAGCCGATATAATTACATAGTGTATTATAGTGAGGATATTAATTTACGTAACTAAGGGTTAAGCTTAAATAAGCTTAATTTTTCCGCCGTGGAAACTTTAACCGCTATAAATAATAATGAGTCGGAAAGACAATGGATTGGAATTTATCGGTAAGACTCACTCAGATTTGGTCGATTAATACTAGTCAAAGTGTTGCCCCATGCGGTGTGTGTCATGGTGCTTTGTCAAACTGTTGAGCATTTGCAAATTCCGTTTAATGATGTGGCTGTTGAATGCTTGATAATGATCAATCTGATCGTTTCGAGTACATCGAGCACATTTTATTTCACTATCACCTCCTTCTCACAATGTTCTCTGCAGTAGCAAGTTATTCGGACTATTCTCCCTCTCGATACCCACATATTTCCTCCTCACTTTGCAATTCTTGATAAGTTCTGGTGTATATTTTTAGATTTTATTGGCGGTAATTTACCACTAATAGTGGTAAAGTATTCCAACTATTTCATTATCTTGTGTTAACAGTTCCGGGTTATGCCCTATTGATTGCCAAGTTGGTGCCTGCGTTACTGTTAGTAAAGTTGTGAGATATTTGCTTTGTATTGCCCTTTTCCTCACTATTTTTTCTTTGATCAATTCTCGTGAAATTCTCGTTTCCTTCGAATATCAGTTTGTACATGCCACTTTTTTATTAATTTTTCAGCAGCTCGATTCTACTTCTAATTGATGCATGGGCTGCCGTGACTTGATAATTTTATATTTCCAATCTATAAGTTAACGAAGGAAAGCACTGGCAACTAACCCCTCCCAATCCAGCAATGATGTGTAGTGCCTGTCATCCTTCACAACACTGCGAGTACAAAGATAACTTAGCCCTGAAATTCAAGAGAATGTTACACAGAAAACGCCTTGCTCGCTTCCTCTGCATCGGGGTACGATACATAGTACATTGTGGTCCTTAACTATAATACCAAACAATACATTAGAGTCCTCAACTATGATCCCTAACTATATCTTTAACAATACATTATTATAGTACTTTACAACTGGTTATATTTTGCTCGCTTTTGTGTGTGTGTGTGTGTGTGTGTGTGTGTGTGTGTGTGTGTGTGTGTGTGTGTGTGTGTGTGTGTGTGTGTGTGTGTGTGTGTGTGTGTGTGTGTGTGTGTGTGTGTGTGTGTGTGTGTGTGTGTGTGTGTGTGTGTGTGTGTGTGTGTGTGTGTGTGTGTGTGTGTGTGTGTGTGTGTGTGTGTGTGTGTGTGTGTGTGTGTGTGTGTGTGTGTGTGTGTGTGTGTGTGTGTGTGTGTGTGTGTGTGTGTGTGTGTGTGTGTGTGTGTGTGTGTGTGTGTGTGTGTGTGTGTGTGTGTGTGTGTGTGTGTGTGTGTGTGTGTGTGTGTGTGTGTGTGTGTGTGTGTGTGTGTGTACTATGTAGATTGCAGTGTCAATTGTATTAGAGGCTAAAAAGGGCAAGCTCACAGTGCACAGTTTTGCTTTCGCTCCTTCGCTGTGATATAGAGAGTAAATATATAGAGTAAATAATAGGGTTGTGGGACATTTATTTGTTCACATTTCTCTTGTATTCCTTAGAATTCATGAAATTTTCAACATAGTAGCAAAATAAATGTATTCTGAGTAAGTGAGCAGATTAAGTATAGACTGTCCGTCTGTCAGTAACGTCATAGTTTTTATCATTTGTAAAGTCTTAAAGTGAAATAACAGGTGTTACACTGATAAACTGTTTTAAAAATACCGCGACAAATTCTTGACATTTGAATGATGTAATTTACCATGATTTAAACGATATTAACCTAATCACAGCCCTGTACAATATGATATTCTCTCAGCTGTCTGACTTGGTGATTAACCAGGGACCCGGTATATGGGCCCTATTATAGTGTATCTACCGACTAATGATATACCTTGTACATCACTAGTACTTACATAGCTAATGTTAAATGATAAATGACATTTAGCCACCCGGCCCGGTGTATACATCAGTACATTTTAGATTTGGTTGAGTGGTGAGTTTTACTCTAAAACTCTCTAGATAAATCATATAAAACTAAAAAGTAGTGAATATAAAGTAGTGAATTATGTAAAGTAGTGTATGGTAGTAAATACCTCTACCAGCTTACAGTAGTTGAATGGTGTTAACTGTTAAGAATTATTTGACTGACTAAGACAGACTATACCTGGTACATGTGGTGTTAGACTCTATTACCCTGTCTACAACTGCATACTCTACATTTCGTAAAATTAAGACAGTCTCATGTTAGAAACCGTGGTATTTTAAGAAAGTATGTTGGTATGTTGGTGTCCCCTGGCTCGTGTTCTGACACGTGGCTGCACAACAAGTGACCACAAAACCTACTTAGCTGCCATGAGAGCTACAATAAGTTACATATTATTATAAGAACATGTGTGGGAAACTAAGTCGTAATCATATTATGTTTCTAATATTCTCATGATGTGTTTCTAATATTCTCATGTTATGAGATATTTTCATGTTGGAAGGTATTCTGTCATCATAGAAAAATCTCACAATAACGTGTTGCCGAATTCCCGCCATGTTAGGCTCGAATTCCCGCCATCTTTGCTGCCACTTCATTCCTGCTGAGGAATTTTTCTGTTATGAAAAATTCGAAACAATAATGAAGTGGGCAAAGATGGCCGGAATTCTGAGCAAATTTGGCGGGAATTCGGAGCAAATATGGCGTGAATATTAGTTAAATACACGCAATCACGCGAGATTCCTCTTAGAGTTAGACGACAGGATGCTTTACAACATGAGAAAATGTCGAAACATTAGTGACCGACGATATTGGTATTTCGGAACCTAAGATATTGAACTAGAAAATTCCATCACAGTACGAGTACACTACGTTCTGGAATGATGTACGTCTTATTTTATAATAGCAATATTTATTCCATGGGTAACACGTAATGTTGTCGCTGTCCCTCACTACACGGTCCTGATTACGTACCTGAACGGCTCTTTTCCTGGTTTAAACATTCCAAGCATTTCCTTATTATTTGTAACATCTTATATTTTTTCAGATGAACGGAGACCCCAGTATTTCACGAGAAGGAAGTGTCAGTTCGCGGGGTAGTGTTAGGATTACAATAACCAACATGGCTGAAGCTAACGGAAATATACAGGATCTAGACAGTCCAGGTTTGCAATTTTATCTTTCTTATCTTTTAAATGTCCCCTTATCTTGTACCTACTCTTTACATTTTACAGTGGTGATGTCGTTTTGTCGCGAATTTCTATTTTGGTGTACCATTCGATTTGGACATGAGGCTTATCAGTCTATCTTTGATGAGACTCTAGCAAAATGAGGTGATATGAGTGAACGTGTAAATCTAGTTTAACTGAGAGAAACAAATTTCCAATAATAGCGCCACCTGGGTCTTAAGAAAACGAAATTTTCGTATTTTGGGTTTTCTGTAACTAAGATTAAAGGCGTGCAACTTCCTTCGGTAAAGTACGCGTTTCATTACATCTACATATTAAAATATCAGGACCTTGTGACTTGGCACACGTCCTGAAGAACAAACGTGATAAGATTATTAATTCGATACAAGTAATGGCTACATATTGTGTTCTCGAATTTATTTCTAGTTACTCCAAAATAATGGTCGCTTTATTGAACCTCGATGGGTGGTTGCAGCTACCACGCCCTTTTATAATCTATATCCTGTAATACCGTACCAATCCAACCCATTAATAAACAGCAAGGAGGCTCCAAGTTAATGATGCGGCCGACGGATATTTAATCTGCAAATGGTCGCTCATTGCTTCCAAGCAAATATCACAATAAAGGGCCATTTCCCGCATAAATTTAATATGCACATAAAGTTACCTTGATTATTCAGACATAAGTCACCGCTTTTCTAACGATGGATTAAATGTTTATAGAGGTCGCATTGAGTTTATTTCAATTTATCCTAACGGTGGGTTATGGGTTTGCAAGAGTTATTCCTAGCGTGGGAACATTCCATGATTTTATCGAGTGATAAATTATCTTCACTCCAACATCTTATCGTATTTCCAAAATCCAGATGTCGAGTTAAGAGTCCATTCCGTGCCCGAATGTTTGTTGTAAGGTAGCTACTACTAGTAATATCCCGCAAGTTTTAATACTCATGTTAAGAACCCCAGTATTTTAAATAAAGAAACATAACCCACCCCTCCCATATGTAAAAGACAGTGAGACTAATCAAATTTCAAAATACACATGTAAACAGGCTGCTGTAATCCAGTCTTTATCCCTACTTTCTGGCGCCCAGTCTTTTTAAAACCCATTGGTTTTTTTTTCGGTGTTAAATTCTGGAAAGTTCTGTAAAGTTCTCCTCCATATTTCCATACACTGTCAGCTGTATGACACCCATCTTTTATACCCATATGTTGCTAGAATTTTGGAGAAAAATAACGCAGTAACAGTTTTTAACAGGTTATTTTGGTTATCTGGTGAAACTGACATCTGTTGAAACTCACAGTAGAAACACATAATCCTCTATGCGAATATTACACTTGAATTACTGTAACATCCTACGGAAAACTATTTTTAACCACCCCCATCTTCCAGGAGGGGCCTCACAAAGTTCTGATGGAGCTAAAAGTATGGCTGACAGAGAGCTGCCCAAGCTTCCTCCAGCCCAGGAAATAGACGACAACGACCACGACTACGACATGCTGGATGATCAGAAAATGTTGTATACTGCGCTCACGCCACCAACATCTGTCGCACGGATGGTTGATTACGATACTATTGAGAACCTGCAAATGGGAATGACACAGATTGACATGGAGTGTAGTTCACAGCCCCGAGGTCAGTTTGGGAGATTTTTCAGATTGATAACTCTGTTAATTTATTGGACAGGGGGTAATTAAACAATTAAGATGGACTGACAGTCTGCCGTTCTACATTGAACATTCCTTTGTTCTCTGACTACTAAATCTACTCAACAGACTATTGAGCAGCGTCATTGTCAACATTATGTACAGTATATTATAACTTAAATATGTTCCCTAACTCTCATTACTGTACGATCCAGTTATTCTACTCAATTTCAACTTTACAGCCCTCTCATTGACATGTCTCCCTAACTCTCATTACTGTACGATCCAGTTATTCTACTCAATTTCAACTTTACAGCCCTCTCATTGACATGTCTCCCGTAGGTTGTTCGGACACACCAGACTACGCTACTGTTGAGAAGGAGACTACTATTTGTTTTCCCTCCACGTCTGGTGTCCGGAGACCGTCCTATGAAGCACTGCCGGAGATGGTGCGACGTGATTCGTATGATGCGCTGCCCAACCTCCGCAGGCCCAGTTATGAGGGAATGCCCTGTGAGGAGAGGAGACCTAGTTATGAGTGTATGGCTGAGGTTAGAACTTTTCTGAGATAATTCTGTAATATAGCTAATTATTTAGTTATTCAAGGGGTTGAAAAATTGGGAGCATTGAACTTATATACATGTAAATCTATTTCTATTCATATATGACATACTTCATTTAAGTTCGGCTTACTGACCATCCTATTTAAAAGTAACGTTATTAAACATTTCCCATATTTCAGACGAACAAACCCAAATCTAAAAGACCAGTGCTTGAAAGATCACAAACAGTTGGACCCGTCGGGCGACCCTTCTCAGAGGTAAGAAATCTACATAAGCGTTCACATTTGCATTATAATATCTACATACTTAACACGTAGGGCACACAGTTGTTATCTTTACATGTCCGAGACCCTGTGTTTTATATTTCAAGTCATTCAACACCTGTGCATTTCTCGCATACTTGCTTTATAGCATTGTAAATATTCTGCTATAAAAATTCAACGTAAATTACAGCTGAATACCGTTAATAATCTTAATTAGGGGGACTGTAATTAATAACACGAGTTCTTGCATTCTTTCCTCCGCCTTAAACGGCACATAATAAAAATAGGACGTCTTAATCAATATTCTTGTCTCTGATGAGACTTTTTACAGCTCAGCCCTAATTAACTTCTCGTCACACAGGTTTACGAATCCCCGGGTAAGCCTATCGACAAGGGTAGATCAGGCAGCGAAAGGAGAGCTAAAGATAACGAGGATTCCGTTTCTGTTATATACGCCTCCATTAATCCTGATTTTAGGTAACTTTCTTACTTTTAAATTTAAATGTTAATATTTATGTTGCATAAAAACTTTGAAACGTTATCGACATTATGCTGGCAAGTGGACCACCTGTTAACGGTAGTTAGCATGGTTAGGAAACAGTAAGATAAGCTTTGTCGGAATTTACGTTTATGTTACGCGCAACGGCTTGTTTCTTTGAACTTTAGCTGCGCGCTTAAGTTTATTTGTAAACAAGCGCGCGCAAAGTCGCGCGCATTTATTTGCATATACCCAGATCTCCAGATAAAATTGAAGCGTCTTGTTGAATTGAAGTGGCCGGCGTGATCTGAGGCATCCTCAGTCAGATACAGTTAACAGTATCTGACTTTTTGTACATCGAATGCCAAAAACTTATGAGTTCTGGTCAGCTGACCTATATTTCAATACTAGTTGGCTTCAACTTGCAAGGACTATTAATATATTACGTCAAACATTCGTGATTATTGAAACGACCAGCTACCTTTCATGGCTAACACATGCGTCTAAAATATTGGTCTCAACAACTTTCACTCTCTGATTAACATATTCAATCTTCAGGACAAAGAAACAAGAATCAATTGAAAAGGAAACAGTCGAATACAGCACAGCTGTGGAATTTGCACCACCAGTACCTGAAAATCCGTATGCCATGCTGGACAATCTTCTCGAGGATCTCCATATTCCCAACCCTGATCTCGTAAACTTGCCTACTCCTCAACATCAAAACAATGATACAAGAGAAAACATGGACGAGAGAATATATGAAGATCTTGAAAATATGCGACCCAACAGTAACGGAGACATTATCGAGGAACTTTTAACGCCTTACTCGGCTGCCCGAAGAACCAATCCTATAATTATGAAATCCTCGCCTTATGCTATCAGTAACACTACCACAGAATTGACTGCAGCAGAAACTAAGAGGGTCGGTGAGCCTAATTATGAGGGCTTGAAATGAAGTTTATGATTTGATGATTAGATTATTATGTTAGTTTCTCATCTAGCTTGCTTTGTTCAGCTATACACCCAAATTTGTGAAATCAAAATACTTAACCATAGCTTTTTGAGATCCAGGGAAAACATCGTGTAGAGTGTGCGACAGAATTACAGAGCTTGGGAATAAAAGACTGAGATTCATCAAGCTTTATGTTTTATGTTTATTTTGTTTATTTTATCATGTGAATTTTTTACTTTTTATCGAGAATGTCATCTTGGTTTTGATGACATTTTTAGTTTTGACGACACTGGGACGATTGTAACTTGTTAATTCTGATTCACTTTTTTGACAGAATAATTACTGTGTACTGACACATTTAGCCTAGATGATAGATCATGTTTCTATCCGAAACCTCATTAATAATAATGAGATTTCTATGCATTTTATTTTCCAAATATATTTCTGATATTAAATTTTTGTCTCTTTTGAGTGCACCTTTTTGTTTAAATATTTTCTGACATTCAATTAATCGGACATAGAAGTGTTTAGTTTGGCTCTTGACATTAGATATTAAATTGTAAGAATTTAATCGAAGCGATCACGGATTGATCATGAAGCAATTACGGTTTTGAAATTATTGTTTGAGACTATTGAAATTTGTTTGAATATTCATTTTGATCTCAACCAGAGTTAATCGTATAATTTTGTGTCACTAGATACTTTCTCACCACGTACAAAAATACAATGAAGTGAATATTATTTGACATAATATAGTTAACAGAAAGTTAAAGCCTGTGCCCTTAAACTGGAATTGGATAATAGAATGTTTACAAGAAATTCCAAGGACCAAAAACATAAAATGATTCCTCTACTTGACGAAGCATTGCCCAGTGGCAGTATATTTTTCCTGAGAAGAGCTGTGGATATATTCGAAATTTCGCATTATTTTCGGACAATTTCCTTATATTTGTGGCGGTATAATTATCATTATGAAAATCTCTTAATCGAACCGTTTACCTTGGTTAATTTACGAACATTGTTTCCTGCATAACAATTACACCACCACAGAATTATATATGGACAGGTCTAAATATAAAATCTCACGTTCATTTTGTTGTAGTTATACCTGATAACGGTTATTGTTAATGAAGCGTCGCTAATTTAACTGGTCATGGTCGCTACTAATTACTGATCCGTCAGCCTCAGAGAAGGAAATGTTAAAATAGGGTCACTCACGTTACTATTAACATTGCAGCCACAGGTCGTGAATTGTTAATTCTGTCTTAAAGAAAATTAAATTGTGGTTCTACGTATCGCAACACGTTTGTCTTTTTAGATGTTATATTTTTTTACCGTGTGATTTCAAATTATATTTTTCGGATGACTCATGGCGATATACTCAATATTTTTGCGTTTTAACCATCATTTTTAACGTTTAAAATAACCCACGAAGAAAGAAAATTACCACAAATTATCAAAAAATTGTCAATAATTGCTTTTGAGCTACTGAATAACACATGAACAATGAAAAGTGACAGTAAAATTTGTTATGATGATAGCATGCTAACATGCTTAAACTATATCTTTCCAATTCCATAACAGCCTCTATAATTAAATTAGACTTAGTGTTGTTTTTTTTTGTGGGATAACAATTAACAAACATTTTTGATATGTTTGACTTTTTCAGTTTGCGAATTTTCGCTCGCGCTCTTTTCGTTTTCAAAAATGTATATCCTGATAGTGATACACGTCAACAAATTGGAATTAAGAATAGATTGGAAAATTATTCGGATTACCCAGACACATATTACCTAGACACATACTACCTAGACACATATTACCTAGACACATATTACCTAGACACATATTACCAGACACATATTACCTAGACACATATTTGCTGTTAAATTCTGAATGTTGTATACTAGAGGAATTTAATTCTCCCTTTGAATCAATCAAGCTAGATGTTGTATACTATACTGATTACTGCTTCGGTATTTGATTTGAACTCAAACGGTCCCTCGTGGCTTCCCCCGCTACCTGAAATTCAGGTAACAATAACATAGCCTATGTTACCTGAATTTCAGAATACAAATTTGGTCACCTTTTAGTTTTATATACATTTTGTTTTAGTTTTATATACATTTTGCCAATGTTGGGGTATACATTCGGAGTTCACTTTTTGTCTCTTGAATGTTGAAATATATTTAAAGACATTTTACCAGATTTTTTATTCCTTCAAAACTTGCAGAACTTTTCCCCTAGCCCTTAAAAATTGTTACAATTGTCACTTGAAATTGCCAATTAATGTCAATTCTTAAAACAAATTTCCTGAAGGCTGTGTTCCCTTTTTAGCTCCACTTGTTTCTCAAGTTGTTCAGCAGTTTGTTAATGTAATTTAACTGACTCTTAAAGTAATTATTGATGGCTCACTAAACCACATCAAATAAAAGGTCTAGTATATTGTATAGTCTAGTATTATAGTGGTATCTGTGTAAGGTGAATCTCTCAATCTCTCAGCCACATTCGCGGCTTCTTATCAATATCTCCTTTTAGTCTTATCTCGTTGCCAGTCCTTCATGCAATGACTTCACGTAGCACTGTAGCAGATAGCTCTTATGTCACAAGGTTAACAATTCCTATCCAGAGTTGAGCATGACCGGATCTTAACTGAATTATAAATGTTTAACTTCGCCAGATGACGTCTGTAGTCCGGTCTGTAAGTTAAAATGGAAGGACATGATATTTAACAGCAGTTCCACTTCCCAACTGAATGTTGAACTGGAACTACCAAAATGACTGCACCACAACTATATTTAACTAGGTTTAGTTTGTTTTAGTTACATGACACCATAGATACATAGTGTTCAAATATATTACAAGTGTTTGACCACAAGTGGCCCCACGAAGACCGACAGCGAGAACTCTTCTGTTTAAGTTCAGCTATTCTTTGAGTTGTACAGCTGAAATTCGGCATTTTAGATAGCGTTGTTATATCATTGTAGTGAAAGCATTTCTTTACTGCATCTCACCACTATATATTTTGCAGTGTGGCAAATCAAATCTCAATATTTCTCATTAACAAAATTTCAGAGATATAGATTGTAGACAACCATGGAAACAACAGAAAACAGCACATTGCTCCATGACGATCCAGTAACCACAGCTAACCTCGCCTTCGGTATAGTCGGCTCCCTGGTCTGCCTCTCAGGCATCTTCCTAAACAGCCTGTCATTCCCCGCGTTCTACAAGTCAATCCGGCACATTTCCAACAAATTCTACCTGATGATGGTGGTGACGGACATCACCACCTCCCTTTCCATGGTCCCGTTCTGTGTTTCCCGGCTCTACAACGGCCAGAGCATGCTGTATGATAACGTGGTGGTGTGTAACACAGCGGGGGTGTTGTTTAGTCTAGGTAGTCAGCTGAGTGTACTGAGTGTGGCTCTTCAGAGCATTGTCAGGACTCAAAGTCTGCTGTTTCCTCTGAGGGAGCTCAAGTTGCTGCCGCTTAAACTTTTTTGTGTGTTCTACTTCGTGGCTCAGGTTCTGATAGCAGCTCTGCCGTTTATTGTTGGTAAGAAATACCATTACTACGCCGTTGTTACGTCCTGTAACTTTAGTCTAAGGGAAAGATGGGACAGTGACAGTTTAGCCTACAAAGTAATTTTAATGCTTGTTGGAATTCTCCCGTTCCTCTGGCCTGCCATTCCCATTCTCATAAGCTGCTTCATATCAGTTTTCATTCTGCTGGTCCGAGACAAGAACGTGGGAGACGAGACAAGCCACGCTCGGTGTCGTCACGCCAGTGTCACAATCGTCCTCGTGACAAGTCTGTACATCATCCTGAACATCCCTTACTGGAACTACCTCCTGTTTTATCTGGTGGACTACAAGGCAGCTGCTACCTGGTTTAATGCTAAAGATCCCAACCACTATCTCTACACCTTCCTTAACCCCTTCTCTATGCTGCTCAACGCTGGTACCAACCCGCTTATCTATCTGATAAGGATGAGGAAAGTCAGGGAGAGTATTCTAGGGTTGTTTAAGTACAGGGTTAGAAGGGAGGTTAGGACGGAGGTAGTGGTTGGTGGGGGAAGTAAACTCATGAGCGCCAGTCTTGTCAGTGAGACGGATCTGGCTGCTGACAAAGTCTACAAATCCTCAGCCGGTGGTCGAGGGAGTAGGGCGAGTAGTGAAGGTGCTGCTGTGAAGTTGAACCAGAGGGCCCAGTATCCGGTACCCAGTGGAAAACGAGGATCACAGTCAGAACAGCTTACCAACAATAGAGCTATAGTGAGGGCACCACTTAGAGTTAGACAACTATCAAGAGATACTGACGATCTTCAAAAAGGTCACGGACTTTGAAATCGTGTTTTACACGTACAGTCGATTATCTGTTTTATGTATCTTTTAGCGGTATCTGCTGAGGTTATTGGAAAATCACGGAATTGTAACCAGACTATACCATATACTTTTAATATTTAAATTTGTACAGTTACTTTTACGATTCTTATAATCAAATCGCCACATTCCTCAACTAGACAATCTGAAAATTTGAGTAATATATACTAGGTTCGAGTAATATATATACCTGTATATTATATAATTATAAGTTACCTGTTTCAGTTTGTATTTTAATTCGAAGACAGTTTAACTGAACTTCGAATTCGAGTCACTTTATGTACCTTACAAATAATTTCAACAAGTTTTCAAGTTTTGTTACCGAATTTAATGGTATCGTTGATCTATAAATAAATGTTAATATTTCAAACTAAATACAAATGTATTATCAAAACTTGCTATGAAGTTATTTTATTCAGCTATCATACGTTGCAAAAATTGACTTTCAATAACCGCACTAATAAATTAAGGTAATATTCCCAAAAAACAACTCAACTATAAAGGACGAGCTGTAGATTCATACAAAAATCTCACAAAAATAGATATGAAAATAAATCCTAAAAGTAAAATTAAACCTATTCACTACACCATTCCACAGGTTTCTTCAGAACCTCCAACAATTCATTCTCTCTAGGTCCAGGCTTGTTCATATACTCCCACCGAGCAGTGAGAGGTAGTGACATTAGAATACTCTCTATCCTGGCGTTCTCTGTGTAGAGTCCAAACTTTGTTCCTCGGTCGTATACCAGGTTAAATTCCACGTACCTGAAATGCAGGGATGTTAAGATCTTTATAATGCTGAATGCAGGGATTAAAACTTGAGAACCTTTAAAAACGATCGTATGATAACATTAACAAAATGGTTTCTAGACAAATTACTCATAAGATAATTGATTGTTAAACTTTAAAGCTACTTAATATGATAACTATAATTGTGGATGCGCACAGCTATTTTGAGTGAGACCTTACCCCGCAAAATTGTTTAACAGGCGATGTTAATTGTTAAACTTTTTCAATTATCAAAGTTTTCGTTTTTATCTCGTACCTCATTAACTAAGTATTTATAACCCGAAAATGGCAGAGAAACTGGCGAATCAAGAATATGAAATTATGCGATGATGATAACGTTATCTGTATCACAATTCTACGATGATAACCTTGAAATTAATTCAATTTAGCAGAATTTGTTAGCAGAATTTGTTAGCAGAATTTGTTAGCAGAATTTGTTAGCAGAATTTTCTGAAAAACAGAGATAATCTTGAAATTTAATTCAATTCTTTTTAGCAGAATAGGGAACTAGCACATTCCTTGTATAACAGCTCATGTGCGATACTTATTTTTCAAATTTTGCAGATAATAGCATTTATGGAGTATGGCTATATTTAAATAATTTACCCTTCATGACTTAAATCATCTGTTATAAATTACGGTGCGCACAGAAATGCAGAGATATCGAGGGTGCCCCGAGGGAGTACGCAGGCGGAAAAGTTCACCAGGTTCATTCTATAACTTGTCAATACATCACGGACAAGTTCACCAGGTTCATTCTATAACTTGTCAATACATCACGGACAAGTTCACCAGGTTCATTCTATAACTTGTCAATACATCACGGACAAGTTCACCAGGTTTATTCTATAACTTATCAATACATCACGGACAAGTTCACCAGGTTCATTCTATAACTTGTCAATACATCACGGACAAGTTCACCAAGTTCATTCTATAACTTGTCAATACATCACGGACAAGTTCACCAGGTTCATTCTATAACTCGTCAATACATCACGGACAAGTCCACCAGGTTTATTCTATAACTTATCAATACATCACGGACAAGTTCACCAGGTTCATTCTATAACTTGTCAATACATCACAGACTCACTACTGGACTTCAAGTTGAACTGGACAAATCTCCAATAAAAATCTCAGTGATTTAAAGACAGCTCACCACTTTTAACAGTAGGGCGAAACTTCCACAACTGTTATGTTAGATAAAAAGATTCTTATCAGGAGCTTTAACACGCAAATAGCGTTTCCTCAGAATTGAAAAAGAACAAAAACACCAAAAGACATGTGAACTGTTCCGTCTTCTTCGTATATCACCCAAGTTTCATAATATTGCTACGTCGGAAACGAGCAGAACGACAAATTTGATAACAACTTCCACGTGACACGCCTTAAAGTGACGTTATACTTATAGTGACGGTAGAACTCGACAGAACGGAATTAAAATCACATACTTTAAATTCCATCGCCCCTTTAAATGACTTAGAAAAATTAGTCTCCGAAATGATCCCGACATATTGTAAGATATTGTACTTTAGATTTAGATATAACACTATTGTCTATTAAGTTCTGTTAAACTTTCAGCTCACAGTACGAGGGAGGCTGAATAGCATTTGATGCTGACTTCAGTTTATATCAGGATTTGTTAACGGAACTTGGTGACCCTCCAGTGTTTCAGTTTTACGATTGAATGGGGTTTCATTATCATTTAGTAGCATCCTTCATGATATCAAGGCAGGATTATTAATCATTATAGGTAGCCGTAGCTAAGTAGCTGGACCTTCCTTCTCTCAAACTCAATCGATGATTAGCGAGTAGACATTTCAGTAACTCCAACTTCGGCCAAACACGGGACACCAGCACAACTACAAGAAGAACTATTCCGCTTATCATGTCGCAAAATAGTTGAAATCAATTTATTTCTTTTACGTGTGACTGTGTAGTGTGTAGTTTTGTTACGCTTGATTATCGAGTTCGCTTATCTTATCTGTTATCGCTACAATTTCAACTACGACCTAGCTCCTACTGTGACTGTGTGTCTGTTGCTATACAACTCTCAGAACATTATATATAATAATGATTGATGAATGATATACATCCATATTCCATAAGTGTGTTTTTTAAATGTCAATTAAAGTACGTTTAGGTTCTTAAAATATTTGTGCAGTCTTATTCATAAATTGAGTATCTAGTCCTTGGAGTGTATTATAAAGCAAGTGTTTGTTTTAACTTTCTGCTCCGATGAGGACTGAGGAGAGAAAGTTTTTTCGAGGAGAGCCGCTTAGACATGGCTGGTACCATATTGTTTAAATTATTTAGTTATATTTTATTCAATTTCTTGTCGCATAAGTAAGTACTGTGTTTCCTTTCCTTTCCTTTCCTTTCCAAGATCTTTCCTAACACTGATCTATTACCAGGTATGGTCCAGGTTCATTTAGGAGCACTGATACTAATCAGCTGGATTACCCTCGGATCTGGAGATATGACAGCACTGCTCTCATCAGAACCAAATGATTACAGCGACTTAGCCCTTACTAAGACGGAAGGAGCCCCGCCCAGCTGGCTGAAAGGAACTCTTTGCAGAATAGGACCTGGTCTGTTTGAGCACGGTGGACGGTCCGTCAACAATGTCGTTGATGGTTTAGCTAAAGTCCATGGCTGGAATTTTGATGGAGATGGAACCGTGAAGTACACCGCAAAGATGATCCCTTCAGATCTTTATAACAAGACGATGAAAGACAATATCCTAGCCCCGAACGCGTATGCGGGTGATGTGGTACCCGATCTTACCATGCAAGAGGAACTTCAGGTTATGATGGCCAAACCGGAGCAAAAAGACAACGCAAACATCGCTATATGGGATCTGGATAACGGTAAAAGTGTAACAGTTACAGGAGAGAGCCCGATGATGCAACAAATGCTGCCTCACTCCTTAAAATACAAATGCCCTCTGCTTAGTGGAGCTGTTGCTACAATTGGATCTACCAGAATGACATTGTTCTCCGCGACTCACTACGCCAAGCACGTCTCTGGAACCAGCTTCAACCACATCCTTACCATGTCCATGCTCCCATGGGAGATGTCGGAACTATCCTACGACTTTTTCGAGTACTCAGCGACCAGTTTCGGAGAAATTAAGACAAGAAAGATAGGCAGCATCCCCACATCAATGTCTGATATCAGGATGCTTCACATGTTCGGTGCCACAGAAAACTTCATTGTTGTACCACTGTGGAATCTCCAGTTCTCCCCAGAGTCCTTCATGAATATAATGTTTGATATGACCCATTTATGCCAGAGCATGCGCTTTACATACGACAACCCCTTCTACTTCCATGTCATTTCAATAGCAACAGGAGAACTTCACACATTTGAACTGCCCCCAGCAAGAGGAGTTCACGTCATGAACTCTTTCGAGAGGACCAACTTTAAGGGAGAGACGGAAGTAGTGATGGACGCTCCAACTACTTCTGATGTCCACGCACTTGATCTGAACAAGCAATGCCTTCTGGACGTCTTGAAGATCCCCTTCATGAAAGACCCTGAATTTATGTACAAGAACATGCCTTGGGACACCACGCTCAGACGTTATATCCTCAACATCAACACCAACCAGTATACCATAGAGGATTTACCCAGGAACTGGGAGCCAGTTGATGCCTTAGTCGACTTTCCTTTTATCAATCCAGCTTACGTAGGGAAGGAATACTGCTTCTGTTACTTCCAGCAGTGGCAGATGAACCCCAATAACATGGACTTGCTGAAGTATGACCTCTGCAAGAAGACCTCTACCACCTGGCACGAGGATGGCAAGCTTGTGATGGAGCCGGTCTTCGCAGCAAACCCTAAACCCACTTCAGAAGACGATGGAGTGATAGTGGCACAAGTTTATGACACGATCAACAGTACGACTGAGCTGATAGTTTGGGACGCTAAAGATTTGAAGGTTTTAGCTAGGTTTGATAATTTAGTAAAGGTTCCTTATACCATACATGGCTGGTGGTTCAGTGATTAACAGTTAACTTTTAGTGAGTTTTAGTCTTTTAGAAATTAGATTGTTAAATCTTTTTAAGATTATGAAGACCAAAGCATCTTACTTGATCATCGCTATACAGTTTACAGTCATGTAAATCATGAAACTGTACAAATTCTGTAAATACACATGTCACAATTGAAATATAGACCTCTATTCTAAATAAAGACCCCTACTTAGCCAATATCGATTTCGGCTTGTTCACTAAGCTGTGGAGATTCGGAGAACCAACATTTTATGAAAAGGACCATTTTTGGGAGTGAATTTTTTATGTAATATTTGATTTTATATCGATATTACGATTAATTTTGAGATTACATTTTATTTGCGTTATCGTTTCGAATTTTCCTTGTATTGAATTGTACTTTTCTCGTTTGTCCATTTTTCTGATATGATTTTCAATTTGTTCAGTGTGGTTCTGACAACGATCTAATGATAGAGAAATAAATAAATCAAGAATGCAACTTTAACCTGTCCCTTGAGAAAAAACGTGACAATTTGGCCTTCATTCCTAAACTAAAAGATATGTTCACCTTTGGCTTCAATCTAATCTACTTTTTTAGTTTTTTTGCCACTATTTGCAAAACAATTTCATTGAGTGGAGATAAACCTGAAATTAAATCAACTTTGGGAATTTGGTAATCTAGCTAGCCAAAGCTAGAGGCACAGTTGGGGCAAAGTTGAGACAAAAAGTATTTTCCTGAATGGTGCGTATATACTAGTGCGTATATACTATATACTAGTGTTCTTTTGCAATATGAATAAGTTTTAAATTAATTAGGAGAAGTATGAAACACGCAGTATCAGTACAAGGAATATAAATTTAAAATCTTAAGCTACAATAGTAACTGTTAAGATAATAACAATATCATAAGATTTGAATTTATTATATTAATCACAATGCTGGCAAGCATTACCGTCGCCCTTATATTCACAATACTATTTACCCCCTATACTAGTATATCCTCTTATATTGTTTTCCAGGCATTAAGACTCATCGAAAGTAGTTCAGCAGGCATATTTAAGTTCAAAACATTCTAATTCAATGTTAAAGATGACAGGAATAAGAAATAGTTATGTGGAGGTTTTTAAGAAATTTGCGCAAAATACGCGCCAGCATGTAATACGAAATTAGGTAAAAAACCCAAAATCGCCATATTCAGGTGCCTTAAAAACCATGTTAAAATTGAGTTAGAGATATGAAACTTTGTAGGGCGTCTAGACCTTATCCAAATCGACTGTAAAAAAAATTTCATGTTTCAGGAGTATCGGGAAGTGGGTTTTCTGGAACCCCTGTTTTACAACAGATTGTCGTGAAGATATATATATATATATATATATGTATGTATAGACGCTTTTTGCAGTCAATTGTAGCCTACATTTAAGTGTCCGTAGATTCGAAAGTATAAACGATACAGTCATCTCGAACCACAGGTTTTAAAGATAATCGTTTAAGCTTTAGTTTACATTGTATTGAAAAATAATTTAACTTCATCATCATCACTTGATGACGTCATCAAGTTAAGTGTTTTTAAAACTTGACTTTTGACAAAGTAACAACTTTTCAAATCGATTTTACACTATTAAGAAGTAATTTTATTCAAAATCTGAGGACATTTTCATCTTAGATAATTGTTCAAGCATTCTACAAATCTACCGGAAAATTTTCCTACCTTGCTCCTTCATAAAGATATTCGCTATTGAAGTTAGTGCTTTTTTGAAGAATAATTTTATAAAAATACAAAAGTTGTGAATTAGTATTCTCTGGTGTTGGGCCATCCCTTGGGTTGTGGAGCTCGATTGTGCTTCCTAAAGGTGTAAATTGTGTTATAGGCTAGTTTTAAAGTTGAAAATCGAAAAGTTGCACACGTGGGGACACGCCCAAATTGATAGAAAATTGCTAAAATTACTGAAAATTGCTGTTTTCACCATTTTTTATCAACTTTGGAGTCCCGTTGTGATCCAAGTTCTATATGAAATCTTCTGAAACTTTGCATGCTTATTAAATTATATATAAAATACTGCTATGCAAAAATTTACGGTGATTCAATATTGTATGCGCACGCAACGTCCGCTCAAAGTTTGCACGTGCGAAAGGTGACAATTTTGCTCATTCGTGATTTCGAATAAATTATGCTTTCCCGCGATATTTAAATGGAATTATATATGAATTTAATGCCAACTTGAATGAGTAAAAAGTGCCATATTCAGTCAGGTAAAATTTCGAAATCGATGAAATTACCTCCTAATTATCAATATAAATATTAATGAAGTTATGAGTTTACATTTCGGCTTTGTAAATTATCCTGACATTATAATCAAAAAGAGATGATATTTAACCAAAACCCATAATCATGGGTAGAGTGTACCGCTGCCAGTGTCTCTCTTTCCCAAACAAAAGGCAATGATATCAATTTGAATGACCGTTATCAAATGCAAAATGATACCGAGAATGAAATCGGTCGCTCGCTTTTCCCATTCATTTACAATTGAAATAGATTACATGTTATAAATCGAAACTTATTACTATTCGTAAGTCATGAATGAGTGGGAAAAGCGAGCGACCGATTTCATTCTCGGTATCATTTTGCATTTGATAACGGTCATTCAAATTGATATCATTGCCTTTTGTTTGGGAAAGAGAGACACTGGCAGCGGTACACTCTACCCATGATTATGGGTTTTGGTTAAATATAACTTAAACTAAAGTGAAAAAGAAAGATTTTGACAAAAAATATTTTGTTTTCAGTCGCCTTGGTAATGCTGTAATGCTTGAGCCAGGCCACTTTGCACTCGTTGTTGCGCGAAAAGAAACAAAAGCGCTGGTACAGAAATTTCAGTGTTCATATACTGGCCAGAGAGTCGGAGGAATTCGTTTCTTGAAATTCCCAAGTATGAATTCCCAATAATAAAAAAATTTCCAAATAATTTGAATTTATAGTCGGATCTTTATCCTCTTGTGCCCCTGTGCCCCAATTACTGTGCCCCACGGATTCTTCCCTTAACTGTGCTCCAGGTCACTTTTTTGCCTCACTGTGCCCATACTATTCTTGCCCCAACTGTGCCCTAAGTAACTTTTTCCCTCAACTGTGCCCCAACTGAGCCTCAACTGTGCCCCAGGAATTTCAATTTTATGCCCAATGCAACTGTGCCTAGCTAAATTACCAAGTAGAAGTCTCTATTTAATAGCACATGAAAAATATTTTATTATTTATTCATTTATTCTTATTAGTAATAACTTGAGTAATGAGTAGGGCGCCAGCTAGGTCCTAGGAGACAGCCAAAGATCTGGTCTAAGATTCGGCAGTTTTTTGTGTGATTTTATTTTCAAAAACGCCGGCCCCAGATCAGCATTTTATAACGTTCGAAATCAAAATTTATTGCATTTGCACTATCAAATTTATCACGGTCAAATTTTTGTACGGCTAAAATTATGCTCCTCGCATCGGTACTTTTCGTATACATTATATAAGTGTTAAAGGCACCGGAATAAAAACGGCACTATAAAATTGTTTCGCTTATCATGTCACGCACTCAGCCTTTTATCATTTTATGCTTAGAGGTTGTTTCGTGACGGAGTCTCATCTTCATTAGACCAGCGTCTCATGCTTGGCTCTTAAGATACTGATAAGAAAATTAAAAGTGAAAATTACATTTTGACTATTCATTAGACCTTCATGGTCAAAAAATGCATACCAATTTTAGATAAAAGGCTTCTTATCAGTACCATACTTTGCACGCAATACAAAAGCCTAATCACGTGCTCAACCCAGATTCGTGAGTATTGCTATGTCGGAAACGAGCATAACGAACAATCTTACTATATATAAAGCGAGACGATATATATATATATATCTGTGCCATTTTACTGACACCACGGCATCAACTTTAACGCGACTTTCCGCAAAAACCGTAAAAGATATACAACTGGAACTTTTTTGGCTGGGTCAAATGCTTTAATGGCCTTCAAATCGGCATGAAAAAATAAAAAATTGGCCAAGGAATAATGATTTTAGAGCCGAAAATTTGGGCCCCCAAGTGGTCTCAAAAACGCCGATTAAATAGGTAATAATTATTTTAGTATTTTGAGTCTTGACACCGTTTAGGGTTATATTATACGGGTTCCTGCTAGTTTAATTAAAGCATCCGCTTGTCACGTGTTATAGAACTCGACAGATCAACGGAATAAAAATCACATACTTTTAATTTCATCGCCCCTTCTACCGTCACTATTACGCGTGGTTATCGTCACAACACCATAAAGTTTTATCATTTTTTTTGCTTTTTTCTTTCATGAAACTAAGCTGAAATTGTGATTTGATATTGTGGCGGTAATCACGCGTTAGGGACAGGGTGACGCGCCGTGACGGTAGAACTCTACAGTACGATATAACTCGACAGAACGGAATAAAAATCACATACTTTTAATTTCATCGCCCCTTTAAAAATTGTTATATACTCATACTGGTTGTTAAAAATTGTACGCTAGATTTAGAATTGGATATCACACTATTTGACTATTCTGTATTTATTAATTCTAGTGTTTTTCATATTTTACACTTTTTTCACTTCTACCGACACTATTATGCGTGGTTATCGTCACAACACCATAAAGTTTCTTTTTTCTTTCATGAAACTAGGCTGAAATTGTGATTTGATATTGTGACGGTAATCACGCGTTAGGGAGAGGGTGACGGTAGAACTCTACAGTACGATAGAAAAATCACGTACGATATCATCGCTCATTACTTTTAGTCAATTTAGAGACGTTATATAGTTATTGTTAGTGCTCACACTATTTTATGTTATTTGAGATCAATCAATCGCAGATTTGACATTGACATAATATTATAATTCTTATAACCGATTTTTAAAGCGTATAAAAGGTCGTGTTATTGGCTACTTAGTATCAACATTCAATATCGCTGCTGCGCAAAATAAGACATTACATCCACAATTACAAACACAATTTGAATTATAATAATTTATCAAAGGACGACCTCATTGTGCTTGGAAGCCTCGACTCCAAGATCATACCTCGAGAGGTAGATGAGGCCTTCAAATTCTAATTGCCAAACAATTGATTACGTAGAACTGTAGTATATGAACGACCCCTTACCATAAATAGTCCTGGATTCTTGGATTTTTACCAGGATATTTCCTAACACTGATCTATTATCAGGTATGGTCCAGGTTCATTTAGGAGCACTGATACTAATCAGCTGGATTACCCTCGGATCTGGAGATATGACAGCACTGCTCTCATCAGAACCAAATGATTACAGCGACTTAGTCCTTAATAAGACGGAAGGAGCCCTGCCCACCTGGTTAAAAGGAGATCTTTACAGAGTAGGACCTGGTCTGTTTGAGCACGGTGGACGGTCCGTCAACAATATCGTTGATGGCTTAGCTAAAATCCATGGCTGGAATTTTGATGGAGATGGAACCGTGAAGTACACCGCAAAGATGATCCCTTCACATCTTTATAACAAGACGATGAAAGACAATATCCTGGCTCCTAACGCGTATATGGGTGATGTTGTACCCGATCTTACCATGCAAGAGGAACTTCAGGTTATGATGGCCAAACCGGAGCAAAAAGACAACGCCAACATCGCTATATGGGATCTGGATAACGGTAAAAGTGTAACAGTTACAACAGAGAGCCCGATGATGGAACAAATGCTACCTCATTCCTTGAAGTACAAACAACCTCTGCTTAGTGGAGCTGTTGCTACAATCGGATCAACCAGAACGGCTATGTTCTCCGCGGCTCACTACGCCAAGCACGTCTCTGGAACCAGCTTCAACTACATCCTTTCCATGTCCATGCTCCCATGGAAGATGTCGAAACTATCCTACGACTTTTTCGAGTACTCAGCGACCAGTTCCGGAGAAATTAAGACAAGAAAGATAGGCAGCATCCCCCGATCAATGTCTGATATCAGGATGCTTCACATGTTTGGTGCCACAGAAAACTTCATTGTTGTACCACTGTGGAATCTCCAGTTCTCCCCAGAGTCCTTCATGAATATAATGTTTGATATGACCCATTTGTGCCACAGCATGCGCTTTACATACGACAACCCCTTCTACTTCCATGTCATCTCAATAGCAACAGGAGAACTTCACACATTTGAACTGCCCCCAGCAAGAGGAGTTCACGTCATGAACTCTTTCGAGAGGACCAACTTTAAGGGAGAGACGGAAGTAGTGATGGACGCTCCAACTACTTCTGATGTCCACGCACTTGATCTGAACAAGCACTGCCTTTTCGATGTCTTGAAGGTCCCTAACATGAAAGACCCTGAATTTATGTACAAGAACATGCCTTGGAACACCACGCTCAGACGTTATATCCTCAACATCAACACCAACCAGTATACCATAGAGGATTTACCCAGGAACTGGGAGCCAGTTGATGCCTTAGTCGAGTTTCCTTTTATCAATCCAGCTTACGTAGGAAAGGAATACTGCTTCTGTTACTTCCAGCAGTGGCAGATGAACCCCAATAACATGGACTTGCTGAAGTATGACCTCTGCAAGAAGACCTCTACCACTTGGCACGAGGATGGCAAGCTTGTGATGGAGCCAGTCTTTGCAGCAAACCCTAAACCCACTTCAGAAGACGATGGAGTGATAGTGGCACATGTTTATGACACGATCAACAGTACGACTGAGCTGATAGTTTGGAACGCTAAAGATTTGAAGGTTTTAGCTAGGTTTGATAATTTAGTAAAGGTTCCTTATACCATACATGGCTGGTGGTTCAGTGATTAACAGTTTACTTTTAGTGAGTTTTAGATTTTAAGCCATAGGACTATTAAATCGTAATAAGGTTATGAAGACCCTAGCATCTTATTTGTTAATTGCTATACAACTGTGTAAGTCCTAAAACTGTACAAATTTTGTAAATTCTCATGTCACAATTGAAATTGAGACTTCAGCCAATATCGATTTCGGCTTGTTCGCCAATCACTAATGGAATGATTCCGAGAACCACCATTTTAGTACAATACAGATGAAAAACGATAATCTTTGGGACCGAATTTTTTAAATCGTCCATTTTTACGTCTCATGTCTCTATTTCAGTTGTGAGCAGTATGTAATATTCGATTTTTCATCGATAATTTTGAGATTATATCTTTTTTATGTTATTGTTTCGAATTTTCCAAATTTTGAATTGTAGTTTTCTCGTTGGTCCATTTTTCTGATATGATTTTCAATTTGTTCAGTATGGTTCTGACAATGATCTAATGATAGAGAAATAAATAAATCAACAAAGCAACTTTAACCTCACCCTTTACTTGGGAAAATGTGACAATTTGGCCTTCACACCTAAACTGGGGACATGTTGACCTTTGGCTTTAAATTTAATCTAATCTAAATGCGCCAACACAGATAGGTGTTCCATCCATAATTACAATCGTATCTACAGCTTATTCAAAACGACTGTTTAATCAAGATACTTATTTCAATTATAACCTGTAATCCTAAAAAGAAAAAAATAATTATTTGATGTGGTATTCAAACACTTAAGAGCAATATTTAATGTTGATACTAATTTTTCCCTGCTCTTGCAGAAAGCAAAAAGATCGTTGGGAATAAGTAATCGGGTTTGGATATATGAGGTGGCCCGATGGACCTGCGGTGTCGACAAAAGTCTGCTCCTTCGCAATATAGACCACTCCCCTATAATTATGTGTATAAAAGGAGGCTATTTTGCGCGCGGGACGCCAGTTATGTGTTAATTAATTTCAGGCATAACAACCAGTTTTTGGTCCTTGACGACCGTTACACACGGATCAATCATCAATTTTTGTGTTATTTTGGTGAAACAAGCTTAATAAATTACCGAGTGATAAAATTCAGCAAGTCAAAACAAATAAAATTATGATATCAGCTGATAAACTCGTGGCTGATTATTGATTATTTAACAATTAATCGACACTGAATGGTAAAAAGTGAATACATAGTTGAGAACAGATGTTACTTTACATTTACATTCAAGAAGCAACTAATATCAAGATTGCGGTATGCTTTTAAAGAATCCTGTATCAAATGATAGTCGATGGTGCTGTAGATGTGTCGATTAAGCATCAAAATGTATTAGTTTATGTTAGATACAAATAATAACTAAGACGAGACAGAATATTTCATTACAGTCAATAAAGTTGGCATACGATGCAATAATATGACGTGACATGAATCATGATACGCATCGTTAACACGAAACAAAACCGCGCAAAGTATGAAATGGTTTACAACCAAACCACATACAGATCGACGGCGACACCTCAGATGCGCGCAGGATTTTTCAAGTTCTGTACGCCTAATAGTAATATAATATAAACGATTATTACATGCGCCTAACACCACTCTGGAATACAAAAAAGTAGAACAATTACATTGTAGAATGTAGGCAGTAGGGAAATTTGATCGTGCGTGGTGTTACCGCGGCGAAATTCTTGTTTCTTCTGCTTGTCCTCCGACAGAAATATCCATGAAACAAGGCTGAATGTGTGACATGATAAGCGGAACATTTAACCGAATATTTCGTTTCGGTGTCTTGTGTTTGGCTCTTAAGATACTGATAAGAAAATCAATGTGGCCTATATATTATTCTCATTAAGCCTTCATGGTCAAAGGATATATACCATAAGTAATCTTAGAACCTTATAAAGTGCGATATCCACGACACTAACTCGGAATATGGAAGGAACTACAAATTCGGTGAACTTTCCCGCTTATCTTGTTTCGATTTCGGCCTAATTTCACGTCAGAACCAAGCAGAAAATCAAATTTGATGAAATTTGTTGGTGTTGTGACGATAGTCAAGCTTTATAGTAAACCCAACTGTACGATACTGAACTAATACTTGCTCCCTCGGGATTTGATGCCAGCATTATTTGGAATCGTATGTCAATTTTATCTTAAAAACCTTCGCACTGGTGGCGATCAAACCCTCCGAAATGTGTGAAGTTGGAATAAAAATTAACACCACAGAAAGGTGGGCATGGAGGAAATAAAATGTAATATTACACGTACTATCATTATACACGTGTAATATGTTCAAGTGTACATCTCTAAAACAACACTGTGGTAAATTAAGTTCATTAACGTCTCTCGTCGCTACTGAAGCTCTATATTTACAACATGGTGGCTCACACTAAAGGATAGATACTCTAGTTCATTTACCTAACCCTCCACTTCGTTATATTCAAATGTACACGAAAGGTGGTATATTGATACATCCGTGTTTACCCCTGAAACATGTGTGTTAAACCTAAAAACAAATGTGATAAAACTAAGTAACTAAATCTCCCTCAAACTGACCTTCCCCTCCGGAGTTGCCGCCATTGTACCTCCTCATCGGAGTATGGTTCGTTTATATGCTGTTTAACCAATGGAATGTACGCCGGAGCTACGGAATTTCCACACGATTTTAGAAACGACAGAGCACTCTCTGCTGACACGTAGTCCAAATCGTCGAAAAATATACCACCTGAAACAAGATTAGTGGGATAAATTGGTAGTTTTCGTGCAGTTGATATTACAACTTTAAACGAATTTAAACAGATCTTTAGTAGCTTAATCTCTCTGACGAAAAGAGATTAAACAGCTAGTACCACAGTTTTTTTTTTTTTTCTAGATCATTTTCTAAAAGATTGATCAAATGCAACCCACTTCTTTCTATTTTAGTTGGGTAAACAATGGGGTGCAGTCCTTTTGAGCACCTAATAAATTGGAATAACACAAACAGTTGCACCGCTTGCACGGTCTTGTGCCTCCTTCACAAAATCGTTTATTACACCCAGAAATAAGGGATAATACAAACTTAACAACTTTGAATTACACTTAAAAAGTTTGACGTGAGCAGATTATTCGAGTTGACAGCAAACAAAAAATTCACATTGCGTGGGCCCAGACCATATGGTTAAATTAGCCAAAGGTAGCGCGCGCAGTGTAATTTGACGCGCAGCGCGGTATACTCAATTTGAAAATCAGTTATTTTGCGGCTTCCATAAATGACGTTTCTGGTCTTTTCTAGCTGACGAGTTACAACATTTAATTCCAATGTGATATAATACGTCTAAGAGTACGAAATAGAATTTTGGATATTATAGGCATGAGCATCCTGCATAATACAATGTCCGGACATAATGCAATTTTAAATGTCTCTCATCTGGCCTTTTATCACATCTCTTGAGTCATAATCCAGAATTTTCTATTCCTTTAGCCTTTGGTCACAGTGCTAAACCTTTAGCCTAACTCCTAAGGCCAGAAACTAGAACATTGCCAAGTCCACTTTCTCTGCAGTTATGTGAAACAAGGTTAAGATGTTTCCGGTTACCAATGGAATATGGATCTTTTCAGTTTTCGTCCGAAATTTTCTTCAATCAAGAAAATGATATCAGGGTTTATTCATTAGATACTAGCTTTGATCTATTGAAACTTTATTCGCAAAAATATGCTCTAAAATAGAAGAGATTGATCTAGAGAAGTCTCATATATGGTACAGAATGCATGTAACCCTCACACAAATCAAAATGTGGGCATCTCACCTTCCAAACAGAAACTCTGACCCACACTTACAATCATGAATTTTATCCAATTTAAGAATTTTGTATTATAACCTGTACAAGGGAACCCAGGTGATAATCATTCTGGACGTCATGATGGGCCATTCACAAAAAGAGGATCTAAGCTTGGGCAATTGGGCATACAAGTTTTATACGGTATAGTAATATTGGGTGAGTCTAATACAGTTACACCTGAGCAACTCCATTACATAATGCCACAAAATGTTTCAAATTATAGTAGGTCACAATTTTAATAGAGGATCTACCCTGTATCCGACCCGCTCAAATAAAAAGCGATGATGCTTTTACATTATTAAAAACACGGCTTGTGGCTGACGAAAAACTTAGATCAAAGCATTCAGGGTAAGTGTCAAGGAGTGGGTCCTATCTGGTAGTCACTACAGTCAGCAATAAAATCATTTGATTGCAGGGTGTGGTCCGATTGGTTTAGTCGATGGAAATGAAAACCCTCGCCACACTGCATACATACGTGGCAACCATGCCATCGCCAGCTCAAGAGTAATAAATCGCGTGTATCTATTAATCAGTGACTCGGTATTATGATTTGTTTAAGGAACTCTCGGAGTGGCAGTGTTATAATTAGTATTTTATTCCACTCAACTACAGTACAGTATGAGCTTAACTACATGTCATACAAATAAATGTTAACTCGACTGATTCGCGTGGGCATGGTGATCATAAATTATATTGTCCCCCGCTTGCGCGGCAGCTCACCACCTTACTGACACCTCAAATGCAATAACGGACAACAAAATGCGTGCCACGTGCACCGGACACGTGGCAGCAAATTGGTGGACCATTGTGGAGCTACGTCAGAGCATGCAGGTCACGTGATGCGTCCATAACACAATATATCACCGTCATTTAATCAATCTTGGTTCTGTTCGTAAGTCGAGTCGGTGTGTTGAAGGGAACGTTTAGCGGAGGTAAATACTGCTGCTGAGTGTTGTAGTAGTATAACATATCGGGAGGATCTCATAAACCATTGCAATTTGTCTGACCATTTATTTGTCAAGCCAGCTATACTAAATTCAGTAACCGTGAACTGGACATTATTTATTGGTATTTTATTTGCCCAATACCCAGTCAATAATTTGCTACTTTCATTGTAAATGCAATCGTTTTTTCAAGCGCTGTTCGATATTTTTCCTCATTATTACATCGAATATTTTAGCTCTGATAGTCCAAGTTGATTATCCTGCATAGCCCAATTTAATCGCTTGATAATAAAACTGATAAAAGTACCCTATATCAGTAAGTCGAGCAGATGACAGAGCAGAAGGAAACAGACCCCCACTGTAGACCTGACAACAGTAAACTCAGCCCACTTCGCTCTACCAACACTCCCAGATCAGCCAACCCAGCCAGCTCTGCCGACAAAACACGGTTGAAGCGCGCCATGTCCACCCCCACTCTCCGCCTTCCCGAGGTGGACAAAGCGCTTTATCAGCGCTCCCAGACCATCAACAGTCCGGGACTTAGTCCTACTATAGTTAACAACCTGACCAGTGAAGTGGACGAGGCAACGTCCCAAGTTTTTGTGACTGTTTTTATTGCACCAGCTCAGGATCCATTGACAGGGGTCGATAGGGGCAAATGAGCTCAGCTCAAATTATCGTTATTAATAATGCGGTTAAATCATTATATAACTCATTTACTTCTTAACGTAATTTACTAAGATTTCAATTAAGACGTGTTATATTATTCAGAGATTTCAGTGTTTAATGATCATACAGAAATATTGATTATACTTTCGTTCTGATGAATAGAAAAACCGATTAAGAATTTATTTGTTGCAAATTTAAACTGTCGTTTGAAACAGTTTGAAATTGAATGTTTTGATCAAAAAGTTATCTATTTATAGAAACTTTTAACGTTATTTCAGAGCTATTCGGTGTTTTTTATTTATCACAGTACATAATATAATGGTGATAATATGAAAATTGATACTATGAAAATTGATAATATGAAAATTGATAATATGAAAATTAATAATGGTGATATCATGAAAATTGGCGCAAGGGTGAATAGAAACCATAAATAGGAGACCAGATCAAAGAACGTTTGAGAGCCGGTTTCTAACCGGCCCTAAAGAACTGGTCAGTGTTGAACCTAATAACATAGCGTAGGATGAAAGACAAAAACAGGTGCCTGGGAGTATACGTAACATCGCAAATCAAATCTTCCAGTCATTAAGACAAGTTTCAAATAAGAAACGTTAAAAAGTCTTACCTAAACCCCGAGATTCTCCTCTGTGTTTGATGTAGAAATACTCGTCACACCACTTTTTGAACTTGGGATAATAATCCTTGTCATGTCCATCACAGGCTGTCTGAAAGTGATAACAATAATGTCAGTAACAAGTATGTTACAATATAAACTTTATAAACTTTATTATAAATAAAACGTTATAATACCACTCATGTGTTACAACTTACAATGCTTCAGGATAATTTGATCAATACAATCTTGTTTCAAACGTGATTGCATTTGAAGAAAAGTATGAATATAAACGGAAAGAAAAGGAATTGCCACATCTTATGTAAGACTGATAAAGTTTATCGGAGTGAAGTCATGCCTCATGGAGCTGCTGATAATAAACCGTTAAAATAAAACTGAAAACCCAGAGTTTTACCCACTTTGAGAGTGGTGTGGAAGTGTTTAGCATCGTCTCTGTTTAAATATGTAGGAGTGAGGTCTGTTCCCCCACCAAACCACCATTGTTTGTTCTCCCCCGGGATCTGGAGAATGATGACGTCAATATAATTAATAATAATGTTATTAGAGACGAGGTGAATTGGCTGCCAGCCATATAGCAGTAACAAATTCATTGTGAGGAATATTTGACACACCCAGACACCCAAAAAGGAAGAGAAAAATCAATGGCCAAATAAACTTCGGCATTGGAACACAACTGATAGTGTGTTATTAATAACTTATATCATTATATCATGATACTAAAATGCCTGCTGTCCCAGGACCCAGGGAAGGATCTCATCTCGTTGGTGCGACTTGATTTAAATGTCTACACAACCTGCGTTGTACAGTGCACACGTTACTACGCGCATTGTATTGCTCTCTTGACTGATTAGCACGTGCGGAAATATACCAAGGTATGGAAAATACAGTAAATTCCTGTTTTAGCATACATTTTGGGGGAAGAATATTATGGGGTTTCGAAGACACTAGCTCAGCAAGCTTGCTTGACATCAGGGTCCCGTTTATAAAACGTACTGTAAAAGATCGCGGGAATACTTTAAGCTGTGATACTGCTTTACTTTGGTATCTCTTACAGTTGCATCAGTGATCAGTCTTACCAGTTAAAAAACTGTTTCAATTGTACTGTAATTCCTATAACATTACAACTGCTTTTCAAGTCTTTTGATGATTTTTAATTCAGAAATAGGGATGATTTATAAACACGCCGTTATTCAATAATCGCGCAGTTGACAAACGTGTTCACATAACATTGTAAAGTAACCTGAAAATTATCCAAAATAACGCCCCAAATTACCCAGCGGGACCCCGCCCATATCCCTGCAACGACTCAATATTAATGATACTTTGAACTACCTTTCTCATTTCTTATGATAACCAAATAACGGCTCGCTTTAGTCTCCCCACCCATCAACAATTTCTCGGCACACCCCCACTCAAATTAATGGGAAAAAGAGAGGACCATTATAATTTAGTGCAGCGATATGAGTTAATAGTTTGAGGGAACGGGCACTCCCAAGCACTATAAAATCAAGTATCAGCATATATCGAAGAGTATTTAACTGCTTTGTTGTATGTCTGGAGAGATGACACCCCAAGTTAAGTTGACATATACTGCTTCTGTATTATATCTTAACTGTTCATATAATTGATCGAAAACTAAGAAGTCTGGGAATCTCTCTCTCTCTCTCTCTCTCTCTCTCTCTCTCTCTCTCTCTCTCTCTCTCTCTCTCTCTCTCTCTCTCTCTCTCTCTCTCTCTCTCTCTCTCTCTCTCTCTCTCTCTCTCTCTCTCTCTCTCTCTCTCTCTCTCTCTCTCTCTCTCTCTCTCTCTCTCTCTCTCTCTCTCCCTCCCTCCCTCCCTCCCTCCCTCCCTCCCTCCCTCCCTCCCTCCCTCCCTCCCTCCCTCCCTCCCTCCCTCCCTCCCTCCCTCCCTCCCTCCCTCCCTCCCTCCCTCCCTCCCTCCCTCCCTCCCTCCCTCCCTCCCTCCCTCCCTCCCTCCCTCCCTCCCTCCCTCCCTCCCTCCCTCCCTCCCTCCCTCCCTCCCTCCCTCCCTCCCTCCCTCCCTCCCTCCCTCCCTCCCTCCCTCCCTCCCTCCCTCCCTCCCTCCCTCCCTCCCTCCCTCCCTCCCTCCCTCCCTCCCTCCCTCCCTCCCTCCCTCCCTCCCTCCCTCCCTCCCTCCCTCCCTCCCTCCCTCCCTCCCTCCCTCCCTCCCTCCCTCCCTCCCTCCCTCCCTCCCTCCCTCCCTCCCTCCCTCCCTCCCTCCCTCCCTCCCTCCCTCCCTCCCTCCCTCCCTCCCTCCCTCCCTCCCTCCCTCCCTCCCTCCCTCCCTCCCTCCCTCCCTCCCTCCCTCCCTCCCTCCCTCCCTCCCTCCCTCCCTCCCTCCCTCCCTCCCTCCCTCCCTCCCTCCCTCCCTCCCTCCCTCCCTCCCTCCCTCGCTCGCTCGCTCGCTCGCTCGCTCGCTCTCTCTCTCTCTCTCTCTCTCTCTCTCTCTCTCTCTCCTCTCTCTCTCTCTCTCCTCTCTCTCTCTCTCTCTCTCTCTCTCTCTCTCTCTCTCTCTCTCTCTCTCTCTCTTTCACTATTGTCGTCATAAAATGAGAACGCTTTGATTTAAATCGCTTAAAATCAAATAATCATACAGTCCAGCCTCTTCTGGAAACAATGGTCTTAAAGCTGATGTTTTCTTGTGATCTGACAAGCCCGGTTGGACATATCTTACTGCAGGATCCGTTGGATCTGCTGAGATCGAGGGCTAGAACTCGTTTCCGGGTGCCAAATTTAGGTGTCTCCATCACGTTTAATTATATAATGTATATAATATACTTCACGCGACCATCTTAAAATCTTATAAATAAAAAATATAAACAATATATTATTATCATCGTAATTTTGGATTCAAATCTTGGTATTGAAGGTGAAGGGGTACTCACCTCAAAGTAGCGGTAATTGAAGTGAATAGTAGGAATAAAGGGGTTTATAGGATGTATAACACTGCTGATACCCATAGCTGTGAACGGTACACTCTCTCCAAACAACTCTTTACCTGGTAGGGATGTTATGAGATATTTACAGAATCAGTTATTAATTAAGACAACTGTTGGATTTACTCAACGAGGAAAAAGGTCGTTAACGAGGTCGAAATCTCGCCATGTAATGCTTGTCCTTAATTTCAGAGAATTGAAAGATTTGGTTATGAAAATAACAAATAAGTGAGATGCAACGAACACTTCCTATCACTTATAGGTTTTAGAAGCGGGATTAACAATATAATGCTTCCTAGATATTAGAGTGCAGTGCAAGTTAATTATTAATTGTTTCATTGAAATATTAACACTTTCTGGACCATGTTACTTCAGACCGTTTGAACGTGGACACTAATGAGAATAATTAACGAGGTTTGCTTATCTATTGATCCTTACTCCTTAGGTTCATTAATCACCAGAAAAAATGCAACTTCTTACTTGACCATGTTGTCACCACTTCGGCCACGCCCTTATATTTTGGGTTCCTTAGAAAGGTGAAATACTGGTCCACTGGGCACCTACCAACTTTGAACTATCAAAATGCCCTCGATTTTAAAACACCCGTTTTTATACTGACTCAGTCTTCATTTAATAAGCGCTCCACTGCTTTTCATTCATCCTTGTATGTATAATGTATATCAATCATTTTTTGTTCAATTTCGTGGGAACAAATTTAAATCCTGTTCCATTTTCCTGTAAATATTGAAAAGGTTTTGTGGGTTGCTACTTACATATTGAACTTTACCTAGATTTTGAAGACCTCTGTCCATAAAAGACCTGGAGAAGTAATAAAAAAGCGGTAATTTATTGTCCAAGATCGTGTGCACGGGTCACTATTAGATTCACAATAAACTTTTCTATTTCAACATAATACATGATGACTTGATGAGTCTAATAATTATATAATGTCTATGCCATTTTACTCTATGCTTAGCGATGAAACCTGCCCCGGATACATATTAGATGATATAGTATATAATATAATATATTTTTCTAGACACCGGGTAATAATACATGGCTGTCTTTATAAAGCAAAGATTTGTAAAATATTGTTGGTCAATAAGTCGAACAGATCCTATACCACGTTATAAGACGTATTTTTCGTACCCATTAAACAGATAGTTAAGCTCATTTTGCATCACCATAATTATAAATAAATATTTATTATGTTCTATCGGAATCTGAAACTCTCTACGTGGCAGCCAGGAACATTGAGCACTAATTATTGGAGAAAACAACAACTTGTTTTGAAGGAGCTCCCTTTATTCAAGAACATTGTAGCGCCGTCAAAAAATGCGAGAATTGAGGTAAACAAAAGGGTTACATACTTATAACTTTATAAGACAACTGTGTTACTTTGTTCCTTTACAATACAAGTCCTTTTCTTTATGTACAGAACAGAGTACAATAGTATTATATTGGTGTATACTGTCTACACATCTGTAAGAATATTTAGAACGGTTACAGCCAGGTCACACAATCAATGAACTGTAAGACATGACTCCTAATGGTCAGTAGTCAGTACTCAGTGAATATCGAACAAATATTCAAGGTAATTTCTGGATCACTTTAGAGTCTCACACTGGGTTGTCCCCATAATAAGGGCATACCGCTCAATGTCCGCTACAACGAGTTTGCAACTACGTCAGTGGGGAAACATCCTGAAGTATCTAAGTTACTTGTGCACCGCCTACCAACAGGAACCCCCTTCAGACACGGATATTTGAACCACCTCATTTCACGTCTCAGCTGATCAAGATATTGCACTGAGGAGAATAGACCACGTCCCTTTATACTTATACAGAGAGCTAACCTTAATAACGATTAAACGCGAACATGATATTTCGTTTTTGTTAATTTCTCATAGATGTGGATACTGGTGGGGAGGTGAAGCACATTCATTTTAACACGTGACAGTATTTCTGGGATTCGATTGCACAATGCTGGAAGCTGATTGGCTAATTGCTGTAACGGGTCAGATTTATTATCATCCTCGAACCGCATAATAAATTGGTCTGACTTTGCCCCATAAAATAGGAGCAAGGGCATGAATTTGTAATTTGTCCCAGGCTCAATTTTGGACACCTTGTAGTCATAAGTCATTCCATCTGCATTCAGCAATCAGCATGCAGATATAGTTCGGCAGGAGACCAATCACTGCATCGTAGTTCATTTTCAGTTCCGGAATTGTGGAATTTTTATTATTTATGTTTTCCTTGCCTGATATACCGCGTACTTTTAGTTCTGAAGAACTACGCGGTCCGCGTAGTTCTCCAGAACTAAAAGTCACTGCTTTGCTGGAGAAATGCTAGTGATGTCCTCTGCAGGAGGTGACCGGGACATGATTTCAGGCCTGACCGGGACCGGGACCGGGACCGGGATACAAAATGTGACTTGACCGGGACAGGGACCGGGACTGGGACTGATATCCGCTGAGATTATCAATTTACCGGGACCGGGACCGGGACCGGGATGAAAAATGTGACTTGACCGGGACCGGGACCGGGACTGGGATAGCTCAAAATTGCCAATCCCGGTACCGGGATTCCCGGTACCGGGAATTCCGGTCGATTACTGGTTAATTCATGATCATAATTTATTACTCAAACTTGTTTAGCAATTTTAAACATTGTTGTATTTGGCTCAGAGGATGTTTAAAGATGAAATTCACAATGAATGAAAGGAAAAACTTAAAATCACAGTGAATGAAATTATGTAAAAGATCCTGGTCAAAATCCCGGCAAATTTGAGTGATTGACCGGGACCGGGACCGGGACCAAGAATCCCGAATTAACCGGGACCGGGACCGGGACCGGGATCATAAATAAATAAATCAGCATTTGACCGGGACCGGGACCGGGATAGCTCAAAATTGCCAATCCCGGTACCGGGAATCCCGGTCACCTCCTGGTCCTCAGAGGCAACATATAAGTGCGGTGGGTGCGGAATCTCACTATTGACCTAATACTGCACTTTTTTTGCACCATCGGCCGTTATTCTTTCGACATGTCCATAACTATGGCTAGGGTCAAACGTTTCACATGACATAACATTAAAAGTAGAATTGGAACATTGGAAAGTATAATTACTTTATATTCTCGGAAAGTTCTTTATCATTATTATCAGAAGGCAAGTAAATAATGCATTGACTTTAAATAATGTATTTTTAACACTGACTGAGTGGAGACTCTCACTTTGTCCCCAACTATCAAATTATACTGTCGATATTTGATATAAACAAAAGAGAATGAATCATGGCAAATGAATAACGTGCCTAACTGGATCGCAATCCCTCAACATAATATGAGATCGAGTCACTTTACTCACGTTAGTCGCTTAAACACACAATGTTCTTTTTCGCACATTTAAAATGGTTTTGGGCAGGTGCGGAATCGCACTACTTACAAAATATTACCGCACTTACATTTGTTTCTGGATGTCCTCGCTGTAGGGTGATTACGCCATATGATGGCCGAGTTAAAGCCCATCAAATTACAAAAGTGGACACAAATGACACAGTTAGATGTTACATTACATCAATATTACTCAAAAACTCACCTCTACTTTTCATTTGCTGGATCGCTTGTTTGGAGAGTGTACCATGGACCACAGATATATTCACACCTGTGAAACAGCTTGGTGAACGTGGAAATAAACCCGAGCAAGTGTAAAATTAAACAGCAATTCTAATTTGTAAACCCTTACCCCACCCCGTCCCCCCTGCTGCGCGTGCGCCCACGTGCTCAGTACTCACCCGCCTTTTCGAACACTTGGCCGTCTTGTACAATACACGTGATACCTCCACCACCAAGACTACCGTCTGCTTCAGTTGGTCTTATCCACCGGTCCACTGTGAACTCTTTACCTTCAATAGTTGCTAACTCGTCACACAGTGATTTCTGTGGGATTGTAAGTGGTGTTGAACGTTGAGAAAATATTTAATCACATCCGGTTCGGGAAGGTCTGTAGCCGTGATAAGAAGATACCATGAAGTAATTCATGTCTCTAAGACACTGATTCGTATATTTACTTTGGACGGTCATACAACTCCTGTTTTGCAAGTCGTCCTCGAATGCTAACACATTGTGAACTTCGGCCAATTTTATATGTTTGTTCGATTTGCTGTTTATCCGAATTTTTGCTATTTTATAAAATTTTCAAATCAAATCAAATCATCCACTAGCGTTATATCACGTTGACCTACTCTTTCGCAGTTTATTATTTAGCTTCCAAGCAGTATATTGGTTTGTTTTCTATATTCTTTCAGACTTTTGCTTAAGTCTAGTTATAATACATTACTTTATCATAGTTTATTGAACTAAGGTGTAGTATTGTCAGATCCCAGTTCATTTTGTAACGGAGTTTTGTATTAACAGGAAACGATGTAATAGAGTCGTTATACTTTAATGTTGCCATGTGGTGGCAAGTCCCCATACATCGTGGTCCGGTAGTTTCATTGCGTCCTAATATTATGGTAAAACTTGAAGAACTGAAGTTCTAAATATCATTCCCAACACTTTTGGCATACTGGCCGTGGTTATCTTTCGACTGACATTTAACGCACGATTGACGTACAGTAAGCACCCGGTCAAGACACATCTCACTAAACATCCGTCAACCGTGTGACTCTGAGAGGTCTCCCTGACAGATTACAAATTGAAAGTTCCCCCTGTTTATTCTAAATAAACGGTATTCTTAAACCCTTGAGGCTTAAACAGATAGTTAATCAACAGATAAGTGGGATAGGTTCCCAGATCCCTTTACGAGATAACTTCCCATAACTGTATGTGTGATAACTTCCCTTACCTATATGTGTGATAAGTTCTCTTACCTATACGTGTGATATCTAGTGATTCAGATAAATACCTGACTATAAACAGTTAAAGTATTATCATAATATGCAACCACAGTTTATGAGCTCACAGCTGTCACACTGTCTAATTCGTTACTTGAAGTTGACGACATCCGTCACTTGATGACGCACGAACAAAATGCATCTCAGAAGGATGATTAATCAACTTATCTTCTGTCATACAGCTAAACTTCAACCAAACTGTAGTGTAACTGGATGAAATTAATTCGCAAATGAATTGTTAATGGCTAATAGACCAATGCCGTTGGGTTAATTCCCATCCATTTCCTGGTTCGACCCAAACCTGACCAGAACTCGATGGGAAATAAAAATAAATTCTGTAATTTTGTATCCACATAATTATAACTCTACGTGAAGTTTGGACTGTTGTCTTTTGTTAAGCTCTGCGTTAGCTGATAAACAGTTTATTAGTTGTTCACATTCCAGAAAGACTGAACTACACAAATTGACGTAAGTTACTGGAGGGGATTCTTGAAACATAAAAGTGATAGTTTGTTGGCAACAGAAGCTCTCATCGTCTACAGCCGAGGTAGGTTAGCAAACAATTAAATAAATCGTAAACTCATATTTAGAGCTTACAAACAATCCAATTGTATTTGTTTTGCAACTTTGCAAGCTTTCTCTTACTTTTAAGCGTCCCTCTAAAGTTAACAAATACTCCTGTTTTTGTGTATTTTATTGAGGTTTTAAACCGTCAATTACATCTTCACTATCCGCTGTTCTACACCTAACATTTGGGGAATCTGAATTTCTTGAATGAGTGGAGTCACCCCTTAAATCAAAAATAATTATTTGATAGTGAAATATTAAACCCGGCAAGAATAAAATATCAAAATCATTTAAAACCAGCCGATTAGGAAGCATTTTTTGAACGGCGTGCTGGTAAGATAGCCGAAAACATAACATGCGAGCTTTGACTTTTTAATATACTAAACTATTCCTCATTAACAGAACGGTCCTGTTTTAGCTTTATACGGATTAGTATCAATTTTAAAGGGGTTTGTAGCATGCTTCAGTTGCAGTATGTGATCCATTTGACTATGAAATACCTAATACCGTAGTACTTAATTAATAGTATTATGATCTTCAAAATAGATATTTTAAGGTCAAATCGATCACCTACTGTAGCGTGCTACAAACCTCTTTTTAAAATTAATATTAAATTGTGTAAAGCTAAAAACAGGCAAGAAATTAAAAACCAGTTCGCTCCCAAAATACAGTGTTATTCGATTAAGATTGCTCTGAAAGTAGAGGTGGCCACTGGGGGGGGGGGGGGGGAGGGGGGGCAATGGCATAAAATGGTATAAAATGGAGAGTTTTTCTATGGAGAAAATGGAAAAACCCTTGGGTAATTCTCTATTGTATGCCATTTTATGCCATGAATTTTGATCATCGAATTACGTATGTGGCGGCTTACTTGGACACTCTAACATGTTTTTTTTTCGCATACCAGGTTACTCAAAGCTCATACCAAGCTACTAGAGGCTCATACCAGGCTACTAGAGACACATACTAGGCTACTTGAGCCAAGATCAATTCGACTATTTTGCAATTCAAATTCCACTCAATTTGACTCTGATAGTGATACATAGACACATGAAAGCGTCGGATCGCTAAGTAAGACTTGAGGGCTGGCCTGATACAATCAGAATTTCCTAAAGTTACACAGCTGAGTCCGAGGGATCGATCCCAAAAATTTCGGCATAATGTAAAAGATCACATGAACCTAAATGGGTTCCGAAAATTTAAAATTTTTACTTAAAAAACCTTTAAACATCCACAACGTACTTACAAATTGAACTCAATTGATAAAGCTATCAATTGCATCACAAAGGGTTATAGATTCCCAAACATTCTTAGTGGTATGATTACGAATTCGCTTTGGTAACTTTACAGAAACAAAAATTAAATAGTGGCCCAGGTTATACTTAAAGAGACGCTTAACGTATTGATAGAAGTCACATATAGATCATCACAAAGTAGCCTAATCCAATAGAATTGATATATTACAAAAACCAAAAAAATTTCACATGCACAACAATCATGGTAAAGAACTGGTAGCTGAACAAATGCAGGAAAGATTCTTAATCTTGATCGCCCGTATTGATACCTGCCTCTTCAGACTTCTGCTCTCCAGAACTCGTTTGCATAGGACCCGACTTCTGACGTTGTGACCAAGGTTGCTCGTTTCCAATATCGCATATCTTGTCGTGTGAAAAACCAAAAATTTTTGCTCATAATCCCATGAACTGTGTGGTTTTAAGGAAAATTTAAAATTTAATCGCGATATCGAGTACGTGCCTCAAAGGCATACTCCTCTCTGATAGGACTACGTTGCATGAACCTCCCATCGAGATGCATGAAGCTCACTCCAAATCAACGGTGATGTGGGACTTCAAACGATGAAACATGAAACTATAATCTCGGAAATATTTTACAACTGTTTTCCACGAAAGATGCAAAAGTGAAACGAACAACTTAAGTATTTAAAAAATACTCATCAGGGACGCTAGTATTTGAGCCGATTGTTAGGGAATAGAGTAGCATAAATTTTCTAGTTCCAGCTCTCTCATACAAATTTACAACCATGGTATGTTGATTCCTGCAATTATCCACCCACCCCCCCCCCCCCACCAGAGGCATTAATCGACGCCCGGCAAGTGATCCTAAAATATTCCGCTCTCCACCCTTTTGGTTAAAGCAGTCTGACTGAAAACTTATGACCTGGACAAACATGTGGTGAGCTCTGAAAAGCAAGTCCACTGCTCATTCTGGCCACCAATCCGAAAAACTATTCTATGCGTACAATTTCTACTTGCACGCAGTGCCAGATGAAACGTCTGTAGTTACTGATAAATAACGAGTATTCGCTGTTAGAGCATGATTGTACTGATAGTGGAAAGTAAGAGCCAACAGGACAAGGAATAGAAGAATCCTCAGCATATTCAGACTCATTATTCGTACATAGTAGATGAAAGTTTAACCTTTAACTACTTGTAAAAATAATTGTGAAATGTTACCGAAATTTGCCCCTGACTCCTAACTTCTTCTCATGTCTTGTCTTTCCAAAATTCCAATATGATTTACATTTGATTTAAACTTTAATTCTCAATAACCCTGTGATTTCCGAATACAAGAATTCGAAACAGTACCATAATACTTAATAACTATAAAACCTGCATAAATTTAAGTCAATTTTTTGAAGTACGTTTTTAAATTTTTCAGGTTTTGCCGAAGATATAAAGATCGAGCTTTAGGAAACAGTGATCGGTTTGGTTATGAGGCTTCCGCCCCAAAAACATGGATCGACCTCCGCCCTCGCGACCTCCGCCCTCGTGTCCAACCTTTTAGAAACTTTCCGCCTGCGTCCCCCCGCCCTCAAGTCTTCCGCCTACGCGACCTCCGCCCACGCGTCTTCCGCCCTCCTGACCGGTTCCCAGTGATACAATTTAGAAATCGATCGGATATCTGGCTATAGTAAGTAGTTAAGAAGGTGCTTGGCCTGATATCAATCAGAAATTTCATTAATTTTCAGCTCAAATTCTCGAGGGATAGGTCCCGAAAAATATTTCGGCTCATAATGATAAGAGTAACATGAACACTGGAGAAAAGTGGTTTCCAGGAAAACTTTAAAAATTTTTTACTTAAAAAACTTTAAAATTTTTCATCCTCTATACGTACCTCTAAAAGCAGACTCCCTGCTTCCGAACTCGTATTGCATAAGGGAGGCCTGCCATCCGAGATTGCATCACAAAGGGTAAGCCTAGATTCCAATATCGCATATCTTGAGTGAGGTGGGGATTACGAAAAACCAAAAAATATTTTCGGCTCATAATGATCAGGGTAACATGAACTGTAGAGAAAAGTGGTTTCAAGGAAAAATTTTAAAATTTTAGACTTCGGCCCGAGTTATTCGATTGATACGTGCCTCTAAAAGCAGACTCCCTGCTTCCGAACTCGTATTGCATAGGGGAGGCCTGCCCTTCGAGATTGCATCACAAAGGGTAAGCCTAGATTCCAATATCGCATATCTTGAGTGAGGTGGGGATTACGAAAAACCAAAAAATATTTTTGGCCCATAATGATCAGGGTAACATGAACTGTAGAGAAAAATGGTTTCAAGGAAAAATTTTAAAATTTTAGACTTCGGCCCGAGTTATTCGATTGATACGTGCCTCTAAAAGCAGACTTCCTGCTTCCGAACTCGTATTGCATAGGGGAGGCCTGCCCTTCGAGATTGCATCACAAAGGGTAAGCCTAGATTCCAATATCGCATATCTTGAGTGAGGTGGGGATTTCGAAAAACCAAAAAATATTTTCGGCTCATAATGATCAGGGTAACATGAACTGTAGAGAAAAGTGGTTTCAAGGAAAAATTTTAAAATTTTAGACTTCGGCCCGAGTTATTCGATTGATACGTGCCTCTAAAGGCAGACTCCCTGCTTCTGAGTAGTGAGCTCGTGTTGCATAGGGGAGGCCTGCCCTTCGAGATTGCATTACGAAGAGGAAGCCTCGACTCCAAGATCGTATATCGAGGGTGATGTGGGGACTTCAAAATCGGGATAGAAAACATGAAAACTTATAAATCTCGGAAATATTTTTACAGGATTGTTTTCAGCTTGGAAAGGCAAAACGTCTAGTACCAAAAATTAAGATATTTGAAAAAATATCTCTTATATAGGGGGGACGCTTGTGTTTGAGCTGGAAAATTGTTGAAGGTCGAAATACGATAAAAGGGCATAAATTGTCTAATTCCGTCCTTCAAAATTTTGTAAAACCCTTGGGTAATTGTTTATTTTATGACATTTTATGCCATCCCCCCCCCCCCCCCCCCCCCCCCCCCAGTAGAGCATTTATTGTCGCCGTATGACAAGTGATCCTAAAATTAGTTTCCAAAGAAACTTCTCCACCGTTTTGTTAAACGGTCTGACTGAAAATCTTTATGAGTCTGGAAATGTGAGCTTTGATCACCATCATATGTAAAGCAAGGTCCACAGTGTGCGTCAGTTGTCTGGCCACCAATCCGTATTATAAAAACTTATTTCTATTTTGCTGTTATTTCAACTATTTCTACTGGTCGAGCAAACTGCTTAGTGCTTACATTGGTATTAAACTCTTGTAGTTTACTGTTTATCAAATAACGGAGTAGTTCGCTGTTTATTAGTCTCATGATTGAAATACTGATAGTTGGATAATATTCGGTTGGAAGAGACAAGGACAAGTGAAACAAGGAAGTTGAGAGTAAGGGCAAATTTTCGGCGTCATCGCCATCTTCAGGCTCAAATTATTTGTTACATAGTAGAGTTGAAAGTATTAAAACTTTCAACACTACTATGTAACAAATAATTTGAGCCTGAAGATGGCGTTGACGCCGAAAATTTGCCCTTACTCCTAACTTCCTTGCTTCACTTGTCCTTGTCTCTTCCAACCGGATATTATCCAACTATCAGTATTTACTGTTTATCATTTAAACTATTTCAAAATTTCAATAACAGCTTTGATTTCCGAACAGCACTAAATTCCCGACCTAACAGAGCTAAATACTTAATAACTAGTAAACACCCTTGCAGGTATTTAAGGTCAAAATTTTTTTTTAATTTCGTTTTTAAAATTTTTTGCCCTACTCTTGCCGAAGGCAAAACGATCGTACGCGTAGGGAATAAGTAATCGGGTTTGGATATATGAGGTGGCCCGACGGCGCTACGTTGACGAAAAAAAGTCGGCTCCTTCGCAATATAGACCACTCCCCTATAATTATTTCTATAGGAAGCGTCTGTTATGCTGTGCGCTAGCCATGTGTTAATTATTTACAGTGAAGTTCCTCCTTCGCAAAGTTATGTTCCGCAATTTTCTGGATTCATTTATTGTTGATGCGCAGCGCTACATTGGTCAAATAAATTGTCAATTTTTACCATGCGCGAATCCCAAATTCATTTATTAAAAACATAGTATGTAAATATTTTGCACTTTCTTCCAGTCACATTTTTACTCGAAAGAATTAAGGGTACAAGTATATCATAGGGAAAATTGATCGTGCGTGGTTTGACCGCGGCGAAATTCTTGTAACGTTTTTAAATGGCATAAAATGGAAACTTTTTTATGGAGAAAATGGAAAAACCCTTGGGTAATTCTCCATTTAATGCCATTGCCCCCCCCCCCCCCCCTCTGGCCACTGGGCAGTATTAAAGTTGATACTGTTCTTTACCTCCAGTTCCACGTTTTAGTAGGCCCCCCCCCCCCCCCCCCCCCCCCCCCCCCCCTTTAGTATCAGAGGTTCTGGAAAATATTCCGCAGATGATAGTTAATAAAAATTGTTAATACAATTTTTTAGAATCATTTCGTTTCACACGAAATCCCCGGTCTGGGGTTTACTGCTAACGACACCACGCACACTTCCCTCCACTTCCCTATTTACGGTTTCTAACTGAAACTGGGCGGTTCCCCTGGTATTTGGTCATTAATAAAGGGAGCGACATCTAATAATGGCAATCTCGTTCACTTAATAACCCACTATTTGACATTCCACACCTCCGCTACCACTGGCTTGTCACGTTACCAGCTAAAATTGTTAAAAGGTCGTGTTCAACGGAATTTAATGAGTTAATCTCATCAATGCAAAGTGAAGAAACCTATATTCTGATTGGCCAAAGTAAGCAGTTGTCAGAAATGCCCAGGCGTATAAAATCTTTATTTGACAGGATCAGGAGAAGTCATAAAGGATAAAAAGGAGGCACAATAGCTTCTCACCACAGTGTTGTGTTACTGGTGCAGCCATTTCTTACTTTACTGGTGCAGCTATTTCTTACTTTACTGGTGCAGCTATTTCTTACTTTACTGGTGCAGCTATTTCTTACTTTGCTGGTGCAGCTATTTCTTACTTTGCTGGTGCAGCTATTTCTTACTTTGCTGGTGCAGCTATTTCTTATTTTGCTGGTGCAGCTATTTCTTATTTTGCTGGTGCAGCTATTTCTTACTTTACTGGTGTAGCTAATTCTTACAGGGTGAGTAAAAAAAACTACACAGTCCCAGAACCGCAAAAAGAAACATGCAAGAATTGTACTATTTTTTCAAGAATTTAAATTTTAAACCCCTTAAGACATGCATGACCAAATTCTTCAATCCACTTGATTTTTTGTATCAGCTATCTCAAGGCATATAACTGATACCATACAAAAGGATTCGTGCCAACTCCTTACAGTTTTTCCTCCAGAATTTTAAGAATCAAAGTGTATAGTTTTTTTTTACGCACCCTGTACTTAACTGGTTTGTGGTAACGGGTGTATTATATTTTAAGGTATTGTAAGGTATCGTAAGGTGGATGATTCTGTAGCTGCGCATTTTGAATGTTCAAAATGTTTGACATTCAATGATTTTTGTTATTTCTAATCGAATTCATTTGTAGTGGATTATTGCAGTTATAATTTATATGTGTCTATGCATATTAATTTATAAATTTACATATTAATTTCTGCAATTGTTTGTATCTATCCTATCCAGATCTTATTGTTGACCCCATTAAAACGTAACGAGTAATATAATATAAAACATCAAATACTGATAAAATTAGTTAAGTATCATGTCTAACATAGACATGAAAGAATATAAATATCTTACTGTAACTCCTACAAATATCTTAGATTCTAAGATATTTGTTGTATTATTCTATCGAATCATTCCATCGGCGCTATGTTAAAGTGAGTATATATGGGTACTTGTCATCAAAAATGATATTATTTGTGAGAAAGAAATTTAAACCGACCATTTTCCAAACCGTGTGTATCATGACCAATATTTGCCTTTATCGAGCTCTAACTTAATTTCACAAAAATATACCTATTTTCTTGTTGATCTCCGTTTTTTCGGTAAGAATAAATAATTTCACATACATTCTCTATTTTCCAGACAAAGGAAAATAAAATCTCTAATAAGTATGATTATGAATATAATATTAACAAATAATAATATATTTCCCATCAGATGAGTGTTCTATTTGCGAATCCACGAAGTAATGGATTTTGAGATTTTATTTCACGTTCAGCCATTTAATTGTTGAGACAGATAACATCACGAACGAAGAAATTTATGATTTACGTAAAATAGCGGGTACAATATTGATAGTTTATCAAACTTCCCTTCAAAGTTCACACGACTTTTGACAACCATCAAAATTAATTTTATCAATCTTATCATTAACTTCACGATATATTACAAAATAAGTACTTAAATCTCTAAATTTCTAAATTGGCAGATTTTATTTGACAGCTCCGTTAGCAGAGCTTCCGTACGAACATAGTTACATATTTTTTAAATCAGCATCTAGGATCGCAAGATTAATTAATCAAGGATCGTGTGATATTTAGATAAATGTATCTGCAATATTATCAACTTCCAATTCTGACCATCAAGATATAAAATATCTTGAGTGACACGATGTTCTGACCCCAGTTGACTGATCTCAATTATGTGGAGCATGGACCAAAAGAAGCTAGATCGATAAGCGGAACTATATTCTATATCTAAAGCTATTAGGGTTGGTCGTATAATAATGAGCTAAATAAATGGTGTCTGACTAACAGAATATATTATAATATAAAGAGTACCTGAAGTGACATGATGTATAATGTATAATGTATAAAGAGTACCTGAAGTGACATGATGTATAATGTATAATGTATAAAGAGTACCTGAAGTGACATGATGTACATCTCCATACAGCTCGGAATATACCTCTCTGACTCAGGGTTGGAGGCATGTTCTTTCAGCTCACTATAGCCAGTGATAGGCTCTGCCATGTAGTCACCCATGCCTAAGGAGTGTTTTCAGTTCAGCAGACAGTAAATGTTGAGAAAAAGTAAGTTCGCTATGAAGATTTTCGCTAACCCTTTACGGTTTTCTCGTTTCTGCAGTTATTTTACTCCACCTACTATTTCCGTCTGTCAACCAACGCTAACCTGTAATTAGGGCAATAACTCGATACTACTATACTTCTCTCTTAATGTCACATCGTTAAAATGCCGCCAGAACCTCGCCTCTGAGACTAAACACATTCCATTTCATTGGTATTATAAGTGGTTATTGGGTGGAATGTGGATTATTAATAACAGATAAATTGTATCTGCACCTAAGTCCTCAGGTTCAATGTCTCCTTTGATAAAAACCAAAATTGATGATAATCGAGCATTACATTATTCATATCTTATTTTGCAGTCCCATATCCATGTTTAATCCTTCTTCTTAAAATTCTTTGTCGTGACAAATGCTAGTCCTGCTCATCTTTATTATTGGAAGATAATTAAAACGTTACAGATCCTCAAGACCACTTTAACTGTAATCAGCTATGCTTGTATTATATAGGCTTTGTTTTCAATAGTTTTAATTTTGTGTGAGTTTTAACTTTTGATAGATAGTAATAATGTCATGTAATATATTTTGACTAACCATCGGCTGGCACTTTAAGTCAAACCACGACCGACCAATTTACGGTAAGAACTTAAGCATCAGTTAAAATGACAACCAGTGCAATATTTGTCTGTATAATGATATTATAATAACATATATTTTGATATTTGACGTTTCGACGGTCCAATCAGCTTCGCTTCACTTGATTACTCTAAATGACTTGGATGACAATTTCAGATGGTTGGATAGCACCACCTTTTAACCTCGAAATACGACAAGATGATTGGTTAAGATTCACAGGGTCACGCAGGCAACAGTTTTGAGTGACTTTAGGAAGCATTTAAGCTATAATATAAAGGGGTAGTGGTGGCAGCTGTGGTAGCAGTCGGTGTGGTAGAGACTTAGTGGGCGTTAACTTTTAACAGCTGCTAACTCTTCCAGTTTGCATATTTTAGTTAAAGCTGTGGCGGGGGAGTTTGGTTGGGCTGAACTTTCTCTTTACAGAGAACTAGATTTTGGATCTTGACCACCTTTTAAAAAAAGACAAAGTCTAGATTATCAGTTAAGATTACTATGTATGTATTGTAGTAGAAAACCTATATTTGATCCCAGTATCCCACTAGCAATATAATCTGAGCAACATGAAGGTTTTCCTCTTATCACTATCTCTTATCGCTCTCTTCACAGTTGCAGCTGGTTAGTATTTCATTTTAGATATGGGTTAATATTGTATTTTATAAAATATTTTTATGGACTTGTTGTTATGTGACAAAGGGATCATCTCCGGTCAATCGATACTGTTTCTTTCAAATGAATAATATACAAATTTTTTAGCCAATTTCGTTATGACAAACATAGCTATGTGACACGCATGCTCAGTTATATTCATCATTTTCTACTAAAAGCCCACTTACTAGCACAATGTTCTATTTCAGCTGACACCGAAGAGGATTTGGACGAGAAGCTCGAACTTGAGGAAGATGCTGGATTAGAAGATGCTGAGGACGGAGAAGAATTTCTGAATGTAGTTAAACGATCTTCAGCGAACAACAAGAAGAATAAACACAGGTTGAGAAGATGGTAGAGAGTATTATGAGGGTATCTTAACGGAGGGAGCTCTCTTCAGCTCCACTATTCCCAGTTCGAGGCGGGATGAACTTTTTGATGGATGCCCGAAAAATGCGAGCAATAATCATATTAATTATTGTTTATAATTCCCTATAATTACTTTATTGATATGTTGTTTTTTATTTTCCGTAAGCAGTGTGATTTAAGGCTATTTCCAATGACTATGGATTGCGAAGAATTCAAGTATCAATTTTTGGACCTAAGGAATTCGTAGCAGTACATTCAACTTTCAAATCTAAACAAAAAAGGGCAGGCATGACATTACAAGGCTGAAAAGGAAAAGGTAACCCATCACTCACTTGAAACTAGTTGTAATATGATAGGCCTCCTTCTCGCAACCTAACGAATCTTATAACAGGATCAATTTACAATAATGTCCTGCTAGCTGAGGTCACGTGACTTAATTTATTGAATATTCCGACCAACTAAATCATTAAACAATACTGCATGATTGGATAATATCTTATAAAGCACTTTATCAAAATTCACTTTAAGTAGCTGAGTTTGATGAAGCGCATATTTACAATACCGGTATAACTCATAGAATATAATATACGATTATTTAAACAGCACAGTTACTAACTTGTACTCAGTGCAGTGGTTATCATTTGTTTTAACTGTTCTCTCCATTTGTAGCAAGGGTACACTAGGTAGTGATGAAACTATTCATACTCATATCTGCTTTGGTTTTGGTTCTCGTAACAGTGTCATCAGGTTAGTTTTTGAGAGTTTCATGAGTTGGAACTACCACATTTTTTCGTTGTTTAGCATTTCACAACTTTAAACTTGAAAACATGTTTCATTTTTACTGAATGATACAGTTTATGGAGGTTGACATGATTTGATGTTAGCCTAAAGTTACAAGTCTTCAGATAATTCCGTCCTACATTATAATTATACAATACTTATATATTAGGGGATATAAAGCCCTACATAAGGGATTGTACACCCGATAAATGGCCGAAATAACTGAACCTGAGAACTGAGCAGGCAGTGTTCTCTTTAAAACCAGCTCACTTTTTTCATTCCATAGGCGAAACTGCGGAGGGATCAGGAAGTAACGAAGACTTCATGATGGAGAACAAGGATAAGACAGAAAAGGATGAGACCGACGTAAAAAAGCGAGGAGAAAACGGGAAAGGGAACCGTAAACGAGGAAGAACTGCAGTCTACGATACCCGCTTCCGACGGTGGTAGATGTGGTGCAGAATGTCTTAGTTACAACTCACTAAAACTGTAGATGGGTAGACTCGCGACCTTCAAAATAATGTTTTAACTGCCTTTTTCAGGTCATTTTATGCTTCATTTTATGGTTCTTTTTGAATGTTTTTAAAAATTATTGATTTTTATCTGGAAGACTAGTTCTAAACATGCCATTTTGGTTTGCTGTGTAGCTTTTAAAGATAGCCGGTGTGCATAACATGTAGCCTAAATTCATTGAGTGTATTTTTTTGGCACCCGTATGTAGTGAGAAATAGAAATTGTTGTTATTTTAAGTGAAACCATGCAGCTATAATGAATGTTTCATTTTTGTTTTACATCGAGAAAAAAGCTCATAAATCTCTACAAAGAACTAAATACAAACTAACATGCAGTTATATATTAACTGTAAAAATTATATGTTAATGTCATTCTACAAATTTAAGTTTGGTCTTGGTCTAAAAGGTCAATCAAATTGTTAAATGTGCAGTGGTATCTTAAAATCAATCTAATTAACTTAAAATCCCACACAAACACTATATTCCGATTGCGTAAAAACTAAAAATCAATAAATTAGTCATCATATCTTATTTGATAATATCTTAAGTTTGTTTTAATAAAATTTGACGGATTTGAGTCGAGCAGAGATCGCACGTATTTTCTGCGTTCTTGAAAGATTATACATACGATAGCTCAAACTAAGCCCATACGAAAAACAAAGGGCAGTTTAACTCCAATTTACCACAGAGTTTCGAGGAAGAGAAATGCTGCGGTAAATTAGGGTTTACAGAAAACTGGGGGTTTTGATTGTTCACGTTATATGTAAAATAAGCCGTCATTTGGGGGGAAATGACCTCGGCCCGGTAGGTCATGGTTTTCACTAAGACATCTGGTTTTACAAATAATAAGGATAAATTGTGCCATTACCAACCCCGAGCACGAAGTGTTGAGAACTTTCTTTGTCAGGATTTTACCTTTTGTCAGTTCTTAAAGTTTCAACCAAAATTAAAAACTCACACTCGGCCTTACGAGATCTACGAGATTTCAAAAAAAAACTTAATCAGACAACTTAATTTGTAGATAGTGTAAGTACTGATAATGCCATTAGTTAATTGATCAACATTGAGATAAACGCGATCGCTGTCAGACTCTAAATGGGAAATTTCTTTGATTTAAACAAATTAAGAACCTAAATAACGTTATTCTGACTGAAAAGAGCCCAACTATTCGATTTTAAATTAACTAATCCCAACCAACACCCAACCAAAACCCGACCAAATCCGACCGAAACCCAACCCAAATCCGACCAATATATAAATGAGGTTGGGTAATAACACAAGAATACTTTACTGAAATTAATCTTCTTTCGAAACAATGTTCGGTAAAACCTTCAAAAAAACACCAAATTTTCTAGAATAAATATAACATACGCTAAAGAATAAACATAACATTCGGACATCTATTATACATATATGTATATTACATAATATCTTTACTTCAATCACATCTACTTTACATACTATCCTCAAAAGCCAATAATAAAAACAATTTTAATCGTATCCTATTCCTAAGTCCGATCTTATTTTTTAACAATCTCACAAAATAGCCGGGTATTCTTGTTGTAATCGAGTTCTAAGCGGGGATCACATAATCTAGCCGCTCCCAAGGATCCACAAGCTTCAAGACGGTACAGGCGAACTTTTGTAATGTAAGATTGTTGGTTGAACTGGTCCCTGAACCCTGGGTGAGAGAACTATTCAAGTTTGATTTTTATTTCCTTTGAGAATAACGTGTGATAATTTCGAGGAATATGATGAGTTAATATTAATATAATAATATTTGAGGAGGCTGGATTTACAGGGTTACAGAAATACCCAAAATAGTGACTAAACAGAAAAATGTTCTATTAGTTATGGAGGAGAGTAATATAATATTATTATATTTACCATATTTACCATGTCCCAGAAGTCCCAAAAGTTCTAGAAGTTCTAGAACAAAATAACAGATATGATATATTTACCTAGTTCCAGAAGTTCTAGAAGTTCTAGAACAAAATAACAGATATGATATTGATATATTTACCTAGTTCCAGGAGTTCTAGAAGTTCTAGAACAAAATAACAGATATGATATATTTACCTAGTTCCAGAAGTTCTAGAAGTTCTAGAACAAAATAACAGATATGATATTGATATATTTACCTAGTTCCAGGAGTTCTAGAAGTTCTAGAACAAAATAACAGATATGATATTTTTACCTAGTTCCAGAAGTTCTAGAAGTTCTAGAACAAAATAACAGATATGATATTGATATATTTTCCTAGTTCCAGGAGTTCTAGAAGTTCTAGAACAAAATAACAGATATAATATATTTACCTAGTTCGAGAAGGTCCCAAGACTCGAATACTCCTCCCATACACACCACGTCTATATACTCATCAGGTCCTCTGTAATCCTCGCCTTTCTCCTTCCTTAGATTAGCGGGTGTTAATCGTGGGGGGGGGGCGGGGGTTGTGATTGCTTTTACACGTGACAGTAATTGACAAATCAGCTTGCAGTAGCTCGACCAACCAAATAAATCAATAACTGTCAGTCACCACACTGTTATAACTATCATCTATAAAGTGAGGGCTAGATTATGCCAGAATTTGACGGCAATAATTATTAATTACGTACCGTCTAGATAAAAACGTGAGTGGCAATTTCATACAATCTTCATAAATAAAATGCACCCCAAAACTGCAACTTTTACTTGACAACAGCATATAATATTAATTTCCTCTTAAATGCGAACCTGTAACGTTTAATGACTCCAGTAAGCATCTTGGCATATTGTGCTCCTGCCAACTCAAAACATGATAACAGTAACGGATCCTTTTGTTCTCTTGCAACCTGATCAAACAGTTTGATATTTATTTTATATAAAAATTATATATAATATAAAATATAAAATATTACGTATATATAATATTTTATATTTCTAACATTATTTCATGCACTGTTAAGTGTTAAGCTTACATTTCATTAATTTATATCATATATGCCAGTTAAGTGACAATTTTTATAATGTAAAACAAAAATATCCCAGAAAATGTTCAACCCTTAAATTCTAAAATAACCCATTTTACCTTTGATATTTTATTCGTAAGACCAGCAATGTGAGCCTTCTCAAACTTAGTGTAATAAAACTGCAACATATTCATCTGATCATCAACTCCAAAATACTCCCACACCAGTTTCCTACCCACATCAGTGTTATAGGCAGGCTCTTCAAAGCAGTCCAGGTCATCAAACACTGCTTTTACAAGTCTGTGTGCTATCGAGTACGCTGAATTAAAATGGGTTCAGTTGCCAACATTTTCGGAAGAAGAACTATTAATGCTTTTCATGCAAACAAGTTAAAACGAATCTTTTATGTCATGTATCCTGGGTTTGGACAAGATATGCCCGCTTAAAATACTTCCATCGCGTTACATTACATAATTCTCAATAAATGTAATAGATTTGTAGTGTTGTAATTAGTTTAAAACTATATACATACTAGTTGATTAATATAAATATTCTATTCAATTCATTTTTCAGCAGTATGATTCGTGGTATACATAGCAAAAGTGATGTTTGATACAGGTAAAAGTTGTATGTTAGACTACATAATCGATGCTGCAAACGATTAAACTTACCGCTACCCTTTTCACCTAGAAGATGACCCCAACCCCCACACCCATGCTGAACCAGATCCGATGATATAAGCTGACAGTTGGATCCTGTTCCTGCTATTATCACTATGCCACCTGGGTTTTTAGTAAATTTATTTAAAATTATGTCAGTGGTTATGTCGGTGGTATTTAAAAAATCAAAATATTTACTGATAAGAAACTACCTGACAAGAAACTTCCTGATAAGAAACTTTCCTAACCATCGTCAAGATTAGTGTTAGATGTAGTATTTCAGCTAGTAGATGTTACAAAATAATTCAGTCAGAAGTTTTGAAATCTAAATTCAGTTTCATTTCTTAGAGCACGTGTGCAATTACCGTGTAATTACCATGTTTGAATGCGGTGAAGACAGCTCCACAACTGTCATTAACAGGGATAGTTTTCTTAGTAACATGAGAGTACCTTGTTTTCATCTTCTCGATAATCTCCTCCTTCACATGGGTCGCCTCCACCCCCGACAGAGATAATCCCTAAAATAAATGTAAAATGTTTCTACAATTTTGATAATCATTATTATATTTAGATGTGATGAGATAAGTCACCGCGAGAATAGCCCCGACAAGCCGCTAAGAACCTCTCTAATATGGCTACGAATTGGACTAGTACTCAGCTTTTGTTATGACATCGGACACCACAGCCATTCGACGAATGAAAATGAAATTAAATTAGAAAGTTATCCAGAACATGCTGGAACTAGCCAGAACGTGGCAATTTCTAGCTGGCTCAATCACCCGCAAAGGAAAAAAATACAGTATAAACCTAAATTTCCGCAGGGGAAAAGAGAAAGCTGCCAAATCAGGGTTTTGATGGATTTTGAGCCCCCATTTGGGGAAAGGAAATTGCAACAGCAATGAGCAAACTGGGGCTTGCAGTAAATTGAGGCGCGGTAAATCGATGTTCTGCTGTAATAAGAGGCCAGTTTAAATTCAATCGTGGATCCATTTTGTTCACGTTACACAAAATTGAAAATACTCGAGTGATGCAGGTAAAACGACTACCCAATCTCTGCGAATAAAATTTAAACTATGAAGGTACGGAATACCGATATTTTACATTGATGCTAACTTAATATGAATTGTGCTTATTTAATTTTAAGGAAATAGGCCAAAGGAGTTCGGTCACAAAACTTATATACCCATCCTCATGAGTCCTGATGGTAGGAATTAGGTTCTATATCGAAAAAAGAATTTGGCAAACAGCCATATTAATACTTACTAGCCCCTCTAGTTGCACTGGTTCCATTGATTTGCTTTCAAATGCTTTTTTCCACATTTCTTCTACACTTTCTAGCACTTTATCTATCCCTACTAGCTGAAATTATAGAGGTAACGACAAAGCTTTTCAAAGCTGTTCTGTACCTATCTACTCTCTACCTATCTCTACCTACAAGGAAAATCACTTTAGAAATTGAATCTGTTCAATGACATAAAATCATTCGATGGCTCCTTAAAGATGGATATTTAATATAATTTGATTATAAATGGGATGCTAAGTAAAGATATCATGATCTGTTCAACCAGTGATATTTAGTTTTCAAAAACGGGTGCACTGAAACGATCATTACATCATTTTATCACTAAGTACCACAAGCACTTATAAATGAGGGGAAATGGTTTTAATACTAAGCTATACTACTGCAGGTAAGAATTGATGAATTGATGATTTTCCAAAATTATAGTACAGACTACAGCTGATATCATGCTCAGTCTGATAGCTAAACCTTTTCAATTTTAAACATATCGAAATTAGGCAACAATGTTTTTTTAACTCACCCACTGATTAGTACATTCACCCTCACTTTGAGCGACAACTTTTCCATTTTCGTCGAGGACAGAAAAACTGGAGCTACCTCCACCCCCATCCACTCCACCGTAAAGTCGAGGCATTGATCTATGTGAAATAACCTATTACACAGCTGTTGAATTTAACTAAATTTGGTGTCTTATTCTAAACTGACTTGACTTAAATGCAGACCAAAATTTCAGTAGAGCATATATATGACATGAATATTATTGAGCTTACATTGTTTATAATTAATACAATGACATCACCGTTCCTACTGCTGAACTACTTTGACTATTACAATTTACACGTGTAATCCACTGCTTTTATGCTTCCATTTTTAAATCTTAAAATGGCATAGAATTCTCCATTTTATGCCATCGGCCCCCCGGCCCTATTTAATCCGGCTGCCTAAGTAAGTAGTTTGAAAGGTGCTTGGCCGGATATCATAACAATGATTTCGGCTCATCATGATCAGGGTAGCATGAAACGTAAAGAAAAATGATTTCCAGGGAAACAAGTCAAAGGGGGGGGGGGGGGGGGGTGGGGGGTCAGGCCATGATTACGTAATATTGCTGTCAGGAGGGGGGTGTTGGGTCTTGATTACGGTTGATTACGGAGGGGGGAGGGGGGTTAAAATTGCTAAAATATTGATAACGTAATAATATGTGAATGACCCCTTATTGACAAGTCTCTTGAAATCCATCACAGATTGGACAATTCTTGGGTGGTATCACAAATTTTATCTTTAAGAAAAAGGTAAATAGGCAAAATTTTACCATTAAATTTTCCAGTCCCAAACATCTGTGCATGACAAAAATATCGTTTTAAGATAATATGCTGATTAAATTACGTTTTACCTCTAATGTTTTTCTAAATCAATTACTGGTTTTTGTTTTCCTAACATCAGAATTTCATCTTTCCCCTCTGCCAATTTCCTCCTTTGCCACAAGGGAGGAGATAATGAGAGGGCAAAATACCATAAGGTTGGCCTGCTGTTACCTAATATTAATTATCATCTTCCCAGTGAGTTTCATTCAGCTAGATAATGGGGTATTTTTTATGATTATATTTGTATCGTATTTAAAGTTTCTAACAGAAGTTTCAGTTTAACATTTTTGATGGCAATAGATAAATTGTATGCAGCCAATAAATACTATACAGTCTGATAATTTGATTTAAGTAATCCAAAATTTCATTTAATACCAAGAATTTTAACAGTCATATGATTCGCAAGATGGAATGAGATTAAACAGGATGAATCCCAAATGAGCTTCTTTGACAGCTTTTTCCCTGAACTCTCGAACAACTATAAGAGAACAACTATGAGAGAACGCTCTGAAGTAGAAAGAAGCGACGTATAATTCTTATGAAGCCTATCAGGTGAGCATATTCCTCACCTCTTTTACCAGACATTTTAGCTGCTATTTTCGTTCCTCGCATATATAAAATAGTTATCGACTAATAATAAAATAAAATTTTAATAAAACAATAGTTAAATTAATTACCAATCATTCAATCAATACATATCATAAACTCTAATATTGGAAACACACAGCAAAATGCATGTCTTAATATATATAATAACTATAATTTTGTTGTTACTAATAATCTGATAGTTCAAAGTTGAATTTTAGTTAAGTATGGAATGCCACCAGATCATAGTTAGGGTAAAAGATAATTCTTAAATCATAAAATTGAGAAGATTGATCTTAAATAACTTAAAATTTAAAATTAGAGCAATTTATTTATTTTGGAGCTATAGTAACATGATATAGCTGTATTATGCATATGTATGCTAGTTATCCAGCCAAATAGCACCCTACTAAGTCATTTTCTTAAAACTATATTGGCAGTGGATAAATCTTTGGTTGGACATTGGCGCCTTTACATAAAATCTGCTGACAATGGTCTGGTACAATAATGTTTATGCAACACATGCAACGGCCAAAGCATATTGTTATGAAAATTTGTTCAACTGACAGGTTCTACTTTGATTTGAAAATATTGACAAGGTTGAGTTTTTAGAAGTAGTAGTCGATGATGAACTCTTGGGGGATATTAAATCAAACACATAACTTTAGTACACTTTTACAAAGATGAGACTTACAAAATAGATTAACTTTTAATGAATAACATTGATTTCAGCAGGATTTTACTTTTACTCTGCTGTAGTTAAAAGTATAGTTGACATCCATTATCAAAAGTAAAATTATTCCTTTACCATTTTATCATACAGATTTACAAAAAAATCATTTGTAAACACTAACAACTTATCTCACTGCTATCTCAGCGAATAAACATACAACGACTTTGACAATTGACAGATGATTAAACAATTGTGAGTTATGGCGGACTTAACTGCATGGGTCAACTACTGAAACTGCATTGTATACTACATATCTTAATCATTATACTGGACATGAGATGACGAAGTATCTTAAACAGCACTTTATACCTCCACTTAGAACTTGATTAGTCACGAACAATAGAATCATTATAAATCAATACAATAAAACATCTTGATCAATAAATGCCTAGCAGCACCAGACAGCGGCCGTGTACCTTTTTCGACTCCACGGAGTCCCTGATGGACTTTTGTTTACTTTTGTTAATAATCGGACCAACCTTTCTTTCTCGAAACATATATCCTACTGTACTTCATTATAGTATTAATATAAGATAAAGCAAATGATATTACAACGAAATAGATGTATACCAAATTGTCCATGATATCAACTAACCGTGTTGATGGTTTTGAATTTTGTATGTTGTATTTTAATGTGAAGCGTTTACTACTCCCCCTCAGCAAGACAGTTAGATTGTATGTTATAGATTAATGATAATAATTGTCAAATGACGTTATCTATACTATATTTTAAACTTGACGAAATTTCCCCGGCAACGGGGACATAGAAGAAAAAACACCGAAAATCGACCTCAAAATGACCCTCTGGTGAAGCCAAACCCAGCTCGCAAATGGAGTTGAAACCTCGCCATTTTTAGCAGGGTTGTAGAAAAAAGATAGGAATAGGCTATAGCATTCTTAGAATTTTGATTTAGGCTTTAGATTTTTTATAATTAACGTCGGAAGTGAGGTTAAATAATCGTTAGAATAATGGCGTTATTTTAGCAAAGGTTTACTGCGCTGTTGCGTAGCAATGATAAAAATGCACGTGCGCGAGCAAGAACATCTTAACAACGCGCGTTGTTATGCTGTATGCTACGTCATAATTTCAAAACTAGCTCACATTTACGCTCACGCTATGACTTCTTATAACTTTGTTTGTGATTGCAATATTTTGATGCAGTAAAAAGTATCGATACTTTTTTGTGAATATTGGTTCACTTCCACCACATAAACTGAAGTTGAAGGTGGGGACGCCTATTATTGTTCTCCGCAATATTAACCATCCAATTATGGTTAATGGAACACGGGCCATTGTGTCACGTCTCCATAGAAACACAATTGAAGCCTTCAACAAAAATGGAACTATAATATTGATTCCACGAACAACCCTGGTACCAACAGACGCTTCTAACGGCATTATATTTCGTAGAAAACAATTTCCGGTTCGGCCATGTTACAGCATGACCATAAATCGTGCTCAGGGACAAGACATCACTATAGTTGGACTGGACCTTAGGTCCGAATGTTTTAATCATGGACAGCTTTGCGTCGCTTTGTCAAGAACACACGATCCTAAGGATATCTTGGTGCTGTCAAGTCGGGGCAATATTGCAAAGAATCCCGTGTTCAAGGATTGTCTTCATAACTAGCTATTACTTATTTTCATAGCAATCAATTTTCATATAATAATTTCATATAATGATAATAATTTTGAATTAACGTTTTGTCAACCTACATAAATATCCATTTATTAACCTATTTGATTTAGGATCTACGCTCAACTTCCCAAGTGTTGAGTCCTTTGATTTTGATAAAATATTTCATTTTCCCCATACTATTCAGCAAAAATGTCCTTTTTTATCTATCACAATTCACAATTCAATCATACGTAAAAATATCAATTTGTCTGATGAACAGATCTTTTAAATGAGACAGTGAGGGGCCTACTACCATTGTTCAATTACATTACCTACTTATGACATCACAATTCAATTATCGAATACCCTTACAATCAAAGAATAACATGTCGATGACAGTGAAAGTGATAGATGGAAAGGTGTGTATGTCCTATTTTATTGGTAAGTTTTTGTATCATAAATGATTTCATAAACTTTGTGATTGAACTTTATTATATGATATAGATAAATATAATATAGATATCTATATTTAAGACTATTTACTAATTTAAGACAATGAGTAAACGACATTCAGATGGAGAGGAGAAATTATACTTCCCAAAGGATGGTGAGACTGTACAACAGTCATTGGTAATAGTCTCCACCATCCTTGAGACTTTAGAAAATTACGACGATTTCAAAAAAGACAACGAAGATTTTATCAAGATTTATCTTAATGAACCTGATTTTAGCGGGAAGGGTAAAAGAAGGAGTAAGCGGAAGTGATTTTATTTATTATTTATGATTTTATTTCATTATGTCAGAGATTTTATTTTATTATGTCATTCTGTTCTTTATCTTTATCTTTATCTTTTATCTTTTATCTTTTATCTTTTATCTTTTATCTTTTATCTTTTATCTTTTATCTTTTATCTTTTATCTTTTATCTCTTATCTTTTATCTTCTGTCATTGTATATTTCGTGTAATGATTATATTTTGATTGCGTTTCATTTTTTTATGTGATTTGATTTATTTATTTACAATTTACATTTATATTTTGTACAGTGACTTCTTCCTATCTATTTATTTTTATAACAATCAATTTTTATATAATATTTTTATATAACGATAATAATAATAATTCTAACGTTTTTCCAACCTATATCCATTTATTCACATTTGTAACTCAGGTTAAATCTACACTCAGCGTCCCAAGTGTTGAGTCATTTGATAGATTATGTCATGTTACCAATTTCATTCAGCACAAATTTCCTTTTTTATTTATCACAATTTTTCATACGTAAAAACTTCAATTTGAACAGATCTATCAAATGAGACGATGAGGGACCTGACATT